TTCAGGCTTTTTTGCTGGCTGTTGGCTGGAGGTTGCTCTTAGCACCTAGAGACCACCTCAGGGACTTGCCATGTTGGGATTCCCAATGTGGCCCCTTCTTCCTCACAGCCTGCCAGGGAGAGATAGCTTCCTGCCGGATGGCACTTTTGTGACACAGTCACATATATCTCATCACCTTTGTCATATTCTATTGGTTAGAAACAAGTCACAGGTTCTACCCACACTCAAAGGGAGGGATCACACCAGTCCACGAACAGCAGGAAGCAGGGATCATAGGTGGGGGCACCTTGAGGGTCTGTTCAGCACACCCTTCCTGTCCTTTCCCCTCTTCTTTTTTTTTTCCTTTTTACCCTCCTCTTCATTTCCCATCTTAGTATAGACTCAGAGTTAGGTCTTTGCCATTAAGTAAGAGCTTTATGGTAATGATGCTAATAAGTAATACCATTTTGTGCCAGGCACCAAGCTAGTTTTCTCTTTAACTTTCTCTTCAAGTATAACATACATACAGAACACTGCAACATCCTAAATGCAGAGCTCCATGAATTTTTTGGAGAGTGAACACAGGCATGTAACCAGGCATGTAACCATTACATAAATCAAACAGCAGAATATTACCAGCATCCCAGAGACCCCCTCAGTCTTGCTTCCAGTCCCTAACACCCTTGAAGGTGGATCTCTAACAGCAAAGGTTACTTTTTACTTGCTTTTGAAAATTTTATAAGTAGACTCCAACAGCTGTATTATTTTGTGTCTGGTTTTCTTAACATGGTATTGTGGCATACGTAGTTCTAGGTTGTTCAGTTCTCATCACTTAATAGGATTCCATTGTGTGGATATACTACAATTTACTTATCCATTCTACTGTTGATGGGCATGTGGCTAGTTTCTAGTTTGGAGGTGTTACAAATAGTGCTGCTATGAGTGGCTTAGGATGTGTCTTTAGTGAACACACATAAGCACTTCTGCTGGATATATGCCTAGGACTGGATTGGTGGGTTGTAGGGGATACATATTTTGGTGAGCTAGGTTTATATATAGAATTCTCACATCCCCTGTGTGAGGAAGGCATCTTCAGCCCCTTATGCATGGCAGTGTTTGAGCCAGACCTACACTTCCTGCAGAGGTCCTGGAAGATCAAACATGAGGAAAGGCCAACCGGCACAGTGGAGAATGTGTAGGTCTGGCTCCAGTGCTTTTTCACTATTGACAACGCTTTATTACTTTTTCTTAAGAGACCCATTGTTTTGGAAGATTTCTGCATACCAAGCTACTAAGCAAATATTGGCTCAGTATCATTTAATTCATCTTCCGTTTCTCTTATTAGTTAAGAACATATCTAACGAGCGACATAGCTGCTGATCCGACATCCTGCCTAGCAGAACTGATGTAATTTCAGATAAAACCAAAGACAGTCCAGGTTTGGGTTCACCTCTTAGTCTTCTTACAAGAACACAGGGTTTCTATTAGGCTGTTGAAACATTTGCAATATGCTGCCCTTTCCCTTGATGATGTTAAGGGAACTTTAAGTGAGGAAAATTCTCACCCTCCCACTAAGAGAAACTAAGACCCAGACCATGTCTGAAATCCTTAGGTTTATGATCAATAAACATGCATCAATGCACAAGTAATTCACACCATTTAGACCAGGCCTGGATCAACATTTTAAACAAAGTTTCAAAGCCCCATCCATTTACTTTGGGCTTGTTCTTAAGCTAAGATAGACTGTATAAAGGTAGTAAGGAACATTTTCCAAACTGCCACCGAGTGGGGAGATAGACTTCAGGCTATTGCTGACATTTGGGTGTATTTGGCTCTTTCTCACTTGTCTCTCTGGTTCTGTTCTTCTTCATCTCTCTCTGCCAGTCTCTCTGTGTCTCTGTGTGATATACATGTCACTACATCATACAGATAGCTCTAATACGTATACATACATATTAGGTATACCCATCACATGCAATTATTATTATTATTTTTCACATGTGATTATTATGATTCTTTTAACTCATTCTCTATTTGGGGACATTTAAGCTGTTTTCAATATTTTGCCATTGCAAGTCACACAGCATGTATACACTTCTACCTAAATTCTTGCAGACATCCCTGATATCTTCCTTAGGCTAAGTGACAAGATGTTGAGCAGCCCACCAAATGGGTTGACTTTTGGACGTTAGTTTTTGTGTTTTACCAAATACAAATTTATGCCACTGCCAACAACATACGAGAACATCTTCTCTGCCCACTTTGGCAATTTTCTATTACAATAATTTTTTCTCAGTTTTATAGGTGAAATGTGATAATTTAGTTTCAACTGCATTTCATTGATTCCTGGTGAGGTAAAATATTTGTTCAGATTTGCTGTCTGAGTTTCTCCACACTTCCATTTCGTATTCCTTTTTTTTTTTTCACGTTTTTCTCATTTCCCTACAGAATGCTGCCCTGTACTTGGGCAAGTCTCCTCTCTGCTTTTGTTATGGAGGTGATAGCAGTGTCTCGCAGAAAACTCAGCATTGTCAAATACTTTGCAAACAGAACGTGTCAGAAAAATGCACCTTCCCAAGGCCCGCAGGTGGTTCGGCCAGCCACATCTGTCATTTCCTCCAATGAGGATGCCTCAATTCCTCTTAGGGCTATAAACCTCACTTGTCACCCGGACTCTGGACACCACCCAGGGGCCATCAGAGCAGGAGGGGCCGGCCACGTTTCCTAATGACTTAACCAGGTGAGGTTCACGTGCACTTTGGGTTTTTACACAATTGTGCCTCAGAGGAAGTGCTCCCTGCTGTTCTGGGGAAATGGGCAACTGTAAATCAGGTAACAATATGGCACTGACTTATTTATCCTTGTAAGAGTTTTACATTCTGAAGGCAACAAGGGAGCCATTGCCCGATCCACGGCCAATGTGCAGTCAGCACTTAGGGAAGCTCAGTCCCCCTTACTCAGCCGGAGGGCCTGGGCACCCCGTAGTGCCCAGCCTGATCCATCGATCGCGTATCTTGGCCTGGGCCAAGTGTTATCATCCACAGACATGAGGCAGAGACAGGAAGTCACCAAACAGTGGGAAACTTTTCCTCTCTGTGCTAAGAGTGCTCTTTCACTCCTTCCACTTGTCCTCTGAGTTCCTCCGCGAGGGAATGTTTGCCTGGACGGCAGCTGCACCCTGGCAGGCATCATGGCAAGTCATTCACGTGGAAGTAGACGCAGTAAATGGGTAGCTTCCTGGCCTTTGGCTGGTGCTAATTAGCAATCAAGGTCAAAGCTGAACTCAATGTTCCATAATAAATTATGGTATATCCTTACAAGAGAATATTAGGCAGCTATTTAAAATAATGTTTTCAATGAATTTCAATGACAGCAAGATGCTCATGACATGAATTGAAATAGAGATGTAAAACCCACAGACAGAATATAGAATATGATCCAAATTATCTAAAAGACTATTTGGAAATTGTGTAAATGGTAATGGTGATTTTCTCTGCAGGCAAGATTATGTTTCTATTTTATGTTCTGTCTTATTATATTTAAATTTCTCCCTACATTCCTACAAGCTTTTGTGACATTTATTCACCAATCCCCACCCACCACCACCACCACCACCACCAGTCATTGACATTTTGAAACTCCAGATCAGATGTGATGTGCCCCAGGGCTCCAGGGATCTGGTGGGTTCCTATTTGTGATTCAGTTCTGCTCTTGTTACGCCAGTGTTAGGAATGGGGGGGTGCTGAGACCAGGGGAGATGTAAACAAGGCAACTGACTTTGCAGAGAATGAAGACTGTGTCTTACTAGAGATTTCAACCAGCACTTGCCATCAACTCCACACTCCTCTTCCTCCCTCCCTTCCTTTTTCCCTGTCTTCCAAATGTTTTCCCTCTTTGGGCCCTGGAAAGAAGCAGTAAATCTCAGAATCCAGACCAGAACCAAATTTGCAACAAGCTCAGAAGGTCACTTGTGCCAGTGCTGACCAGGAACCTTAGTCTGGCAGCCATTCTAATGGAAAAAGCTTAGCAGACTCAAGGATCACTCTGTTCTGTCCCAGTCATGCTGCTTCCAGCAGGCTGGTGTCAGTTCTGGGTGCCGAGTTAAAAAAAGAATATTGGAGAGATTGCCTTCTGCAGAGCACAAAAATGGTATTAGCAGCCAGACCACCACCATGTACTGAATGTTTATGGTGTGCCAGATGCTGGACCAAAGCATGACCTATTGTTTTATTTGATCTTTAAACAACTCCTTTACAAATGAAACACTGGAGTTAAGCAAGATTGAGTAATGAGACGGCTCTATCTTAATCTGTATAAATTTTCCAAGGTAGGGGAGAGAAGAGATGCCCCAGAACCCTCTGCCTCCCCTGCTGATGAGGCCCTCTGGACCACAGCCTTGGCTGCTGGATTTGGGGAAGCAGGCTAGGAGAGCTGCATTACATATGGGGTATCTATATGAATCTTTCTGATCAAGAGTGATGGCCCAGCTCACTTTAAAATAACACAGGTTTACACCTAAAGGTTTCAGTGATGTGACAGGTGTAGCTTGTGGAAGGTAGGAGGTTGAATGCTCTCGAATCAGGAATGTGAGCTCCCAGGTGGCCCTCCAGCTGCATCCACTTTGCCCTTACCCTTGACTATTATTGCCTGACTGGTGGTTTTGATGGCTTGAGATGCCAAGATGCCAGACTTCATTCAGACCCCTGGCCCTAATGGATGGCTTTTGGCTCACTGGGGAATTGGGTCTTTTCTTACAATTTGCCAGGAATGTGACCGCAGTAGATTAGGCCTCCCCAGAACAGTCCCCAGTCTAGTTGGTAGTGGGGCCCACCAATGAGTAGGGGTGCTCGCATTAAAGACTGCTCTGGTCAAATGGACTGTTTGGAGCCAAGGTGAGAAGGCTGAGTATCCTAGACAAGCTTATCTCACCTATTATTACATAGTCATATGCACTAATACATAGAAAAAAAAGCAAAATCTATTAATGCATAGAAAATATATAGAAAAAAACACAGACTATCTATACAAAACACTGTTTTTAATAAAACAAAACCAATTCATCCAAGTCATGGGTGCAAGGTTAACAAGTATCAGATGTAACCTGTATGGTTCTTCTAAAACAGTGGCTTGAGCACGAGGGCTTGTCTGCCTCCAGCCATATCCTGGGAAGCTGACCCAAAGGGGACTTAAAATCTCCAGGACGGATTCTTATTCTTGGGTCAGAGTTGGCTCAGGGTCACATGCTCTTGAGGTCTCTGAAGACAACATGAGCTGCATTGCGTCCAGGGGCTCCCATTACGCCTCCTCCTGGAAGGGAACTGCCCATGAATCTAAGCTGTGCTCACAACCCTCCCCAGGGAGCAGACAGGGCCAGGGATGATGGAGAAGTCAGCAACGAAGCAGAGCATGGGTGCCTGCAGGGTGGTGCTTGGACCATGGGCATCAGAAGCCCCTGGGATGACCATTGAGACAGTTTCCGAGCTCGCCCCCAGGCTTCTTCCCTCAGAGCTCTGGGCAGGGGGCCCAGGGCATAGTCCAAGCAAGTGCTCCCCTCAGTCTGGAAGTCAAGGTGCTAGATGGCAAAACTCAACTGTGAAACTAAAGCACCAGACTCAGGGTTTGAGGGAGAAGCTGTGGAAGTACAGACCTCTCTGGGACGTGTCCACAGGGAACGGCAGCCTTGGCGAGGTCAGTTAGGCTTGGAATAGATGCCAGGAAGAATTTTTAAATTGAGAAATGTAACATCACCAACTCTTACTGGTCTAAAATCTGGAGCGGGGATTCAGGGACGTGGGTCCCTCTGAGCCCAGAGTTGGCATTTGGAGAGCCGCCTCTGGGACCTATTCTCAGACCTGGCGAGGGGGAGGTGTGAGCTCCCCCAGGGTGGAGGGGGCGGCCAGCTGGCAGAGGACCCCGCTGCTCTGCTCCTTTCCCGCATGCTCAGAAGCCAGAATGTGGGGGATGGCCCGTTCTCCTGGGAGTTCCCTGCTCCCCTCCCACTCTCCCCACCTCCCTCACTGCTGGGCCCAGCCCTCCCCACAGCTGCACCTGGGAAGGGGCCCTGGGCACTCACCCGGGTGGGTGCCGCTTCCGCAGAGGTACAAGCCCCGGAGAGGACAGCGGTAGCCGGAGTGCAGGGGCGTGGGGCGGGCGAAGTAGAGCTGGTCCAGGGTCATGGCACAGTGGAAGATGTTCTGCGGGAGGCAGGGCCGCAGTGGTTAACATAGGAGTGCCAGGGTCTTACCGCCTCTGTGCATTCCTTCCCCTCCCCCTCTCCCAGGAAGGTTCTTCTTCCAGCATGTTTTCTTGGACTCTTAGGAAGCAGAAAAGGGAGGGGAAGAGAGAGAACAGGTACATGTCCTTGGGTGGGGAAGATAATTTTCCAGAGGCAGTTTTCAGGAAAAAGGGAAGGTGAGGAAAACCTTCAGAGTGTGAGGAAAAGGGAGATTTTGAGGGTTTTGCCGAGGACTATAAATCCTCTTCACTGTGGTTGAAAAATGGAGGATTTGACTTATCTTGGCAGCCAGCTCACATTTCCTTGGCCAAGACACCCACTGGAGCCTGAGCCCCGAGGTGGGGATTGGGACGGAGGGTCCATGCCCTAGCAGAGTCACAGGAGATGGCAGGAGGCAAGGTGCAAGGGACTCGAGGTGGGTTCTGCTCCCCTGGCCTGGGTCTGAGCAGCCAGGAAGTGGGGGACAAGGGCCAGGGGGAAGGTCAGACTTATGATGTAGGTCTGGACAAGGAGACCAACACCTCCTGGACGTCACCACAGGGACATCCTTCCAGCTAACCCTCTCAGGGTGTCCCAAGCTGAGCTCACCCTTCCCTGCCAAGTCTGCTCTCTCCCGCCTTCCCCACCTCAGTGTGCAGTTTCCCACCTGAGCTGGAGGGACTCTTCCCTTCACCTCTGCCCTGACCTCTGCTTGCACCTTGTACGAGACCTCTCAGTTTTGCCTGCCCCACCTTCCCATATCCCCCACTCCGTTCCCTCCCCACTTCCTGGGCTCTTGCCCTCTATTTTGGGGCTAGCGCTGTCCAATAAAAACATCACATGAGCCACATATGCAATTTTTACTTTCTAGGAGCTACATTAAAATTTAAAAAGAAACTGGTGAAATGAATGTCAATAATGTATAAAATAATATTTTATTTAACCTAATAGATCTGAAATACTATCATTTTAACATGCAATCAATATAGAAATTATTAATGAGATGTGGTTACATTTTTTTTTCATCCTAAGCCTCTGCCGTCTGGGGGGCATTTTGCATATGCAGTTTGGCCTCATCCCACTGAAGCCACCAAGAGCCACATGAAGCTGATGCCAGGTGTATGAGCCTGGCCTCCTAACTGGTCCCTCTGCCTCCAGTCTCAGTGAGGTTTTGATAAATCAGAGAGGCAAGTCCAAGGACATGCTGCCTTAAGAGGGGAGCTCCCTCTGAAGAAAGCCAGCTGGGAGAGGTGGCAATGCATGTCCAGACAGGGGTGCCACAGCCCTGGTGACCCGCTCAGCAGGCACCAGCTCTCCTATCTGATCTCATTCCTCCGCACTCCCTAGGTCAGACCACTTTTCTGTCCCCTCTCTACCGTTGTCTCTGCACCATGCTCCCTTCTTGGTACAGGCTGAGTGTGAAAGGGCAAGAGAATGCCAGGGGGGCATTCCAAGGGGTTGGGGTCACAGGGAGAAGGATGTGATGAGGGACCCCTGGTCTTATACTCACACCTCCGGGAAGCCCAAAGATTCTCTCTAAATCAGGTGGTGTGAGGATGTCCCTGCCCACCACGGAGCCCTTGAAGCCAGGGGCGTAGGCCTCGATGCAGTCGAACACTGTGCTCCAAACAGTGGAGAAACAAGATGCCGTGAGGAAGATGAGGAGGTGCTCTGATTGTACAACTTGGCAAACTGACAAAAATTCATTAAACTACACACTTAAAATCTATTTATTTTACCAAATGTAAATCATATCTCAATAAGCAATACATAAAAACAGTCTATGGGCAAGTAAATAATCCATTACAAAGGCCTATGGGTCCACCCCACTTTCCCACCTGCTCACCCCAACCCTAAATACAGAGTTACTTGTCTTCCATGAATATGCAGAGTTTTCTGCACCTCGTTGTTTTGCTCAAGTTGTTTCTTTGCTTGGAATGCCCACTGCTGCCTGGCCAACTCCTCTTCATCCTTTAAAACCCAGCTCAAATGTCCCTTCCTTTGCAAAGGCAAATGGCTTCCTCCTTTGGTTCACGTAGTATGCTGTATCGTAAGATCCCCCAAATCCCGACTGGACTGTGAGCAGCTTAAGGACAGGAACTGTGCCTTTTAGGCTTTCTTAGCCCAGTGCCTGGCCCCAGCAGGCATTCGCTGTGCTGACCTAGGTTCCGTGGGGGTACTTCTCTCCCTCTGGCACAGGACTCAACCAGCCTTAATCCTGAATAGGGCACTCAGGAGGGAGGGGCCCATGGGGGGGAGCGTGGCCAGCTGTCACTGTGGAGACAGGACAGTCTGCCCTCTTTACCTTTGTCTGCATAAGCGTTTCTCTCCTGCTCATCCCACACCTTGCCTCTGGCCAGCGAGTAGGGGGTGTACTGAGTGAAGAGGGAGACCACATGGCAGCCGGGGGGAGCCAGGGTGGGGTCCAGCGAGGAAGGGATGCAGAGCTCAATCATAGGCCTGCACGGGGGAGGAGAGAGGGTTGGGTGTCAAGGGGATGGGAGCCTCTCGGAAGTGACAGGGGCAAAATGAAGGAAGGCCTAAGGTGAAATGATGGGGTGTCTGGGAGGCTGTGGCAGTTGCTCGCCTGGTGGACGGTACTACCCCAAAGGAGCTCCCAGCCCCTCGACACACCCTTTGTTGCCATTGCCTCAGGGTCTCAGGTCCCACTTAGCCTCCCTCTAAATGCATGCCTGTCCCCATAACCCCCACCACAGCCTGTACTCTGACAGGTCTAGGGCCCAGCAGACAGCACACACGAGGGAAGGGGCCAGGCCCAGGGCAGCAGGAGCTCAGGTGGCCAAATGTCAACCCAGGCTGCCCCTATCTGCCTACCTTTCCCGGAGCAGCCTGGGCAACACAGAGCTGCTGAGGCTGCAGCTACCCTACAGAACCCCAATCTGTTTCCTACCCTCCCCCTGCTTACAATGCTCTGTCCACTTGGAGCACATTTTCCCTCTAATCTCTAAATATGAGCACCTTCAAGGCCACATGAAATGCCCTTTCTCCCTGCATCCCTCACTTGCAATGTGCCCTCTGAACTTGGATGTCCTGTAGGCATCTCTAAAGCAACTTGTCCAAACCCGAATGCCTAAAGCCTGCTCCTCCACCCCCCCACACACCAGGTTCCCCTTTTTTATAAAGACAAACACCATCTTCCAGTGGCACCTCTTTTGCTCACACCCCACTTCCTGTCCAATAGCAAATGCTGCCAGCTTCATCTTAAAATACCCGGTATCTGGCCACTTCTCGTCACTTCCACCATCCCCACCCTGGTCCAGGCCACCATCTTCTGATCCTTGGATTCTACAATAGTAACCAATTGCAACAAGTGCCTTTTTTTTTTTCCCCAAACAGTGGCCAGAGTGGTCTTTCCAAAATCTAAGTTAGGTTTAGCACAAACTTTCTAGGAGTAAAAGCCAGGAGTGGCTGACAGGGCCCAGCTGCAGCTCTGTGGACCCCCCGCCACAACTCCCCCCTCCCAGGTTCTTTCTCCAGCCTCTCTGGCTATATCCCTGTGCCTGCAACACAGCAGCTCACTCGTACCCTAGGGCCTTTGCACCTGACTTCTCTTCTGCTTGGATGTTCTTCCTCAGAAATTTATAAGGCCTCTATTCTCACTTCCCTTCGGTCTCAGCTCAAACACCTTGCTGTCAGAGATGCTTTTCTTTCCTGACCTTCTTATAAAGACTAGTGAACCATCACCTCTGATCTATCTTTCTCCATACTATCAGTGCATGTTTGTTCATTGTCTTGCCTTCTACCATAGAAGGTCTACCATGAACGGAGGGCAGGACATGTGACTTTGCTTGCTGCTCTGTGCCCAGGTCCCTGGACTAAGCCTGAGGGACTAAGCCCCACAGAGTAGGGGCTCCAAAATATTTATGAATAAAGAATGGACATTGCCTTCTTCCCTTCTCCCAGGCACATATCCTCTTCACCTCGCGCTATAAATGTCTGTGTGCCTGCCCTGTGGTAAGCTTTGTGTCTGTTTCATGCCCCTGCCTGACCCCCAAATCCCCTAACCCATACTCAATAAAGAGGCCCACACAGAACAGATTTTCAACAAGCTTTGGTGGACAATTGACAGCATGGAGAGATACTTGCTCCTGAAACACCCCTGCCTGTTCCCAGAAGGAGATACAGCTGGGATGGGAGGTAGGAGATGTTTTTAGAAGCTTTGCACAAAGGCGGCTTATCAGAGACAGAATATAGAGCAGGGGCATAGGAGGAGTGTGTGCCCTCTGATGGGCTGCTGAATCAGAGAAACCCTTTTTCTTCCAGAAAGCATTTCCTTCAATTCCTCCCAAATGCCAGGGATGTTCTCTCTGTAATACTTTGACCCCTCTGCTAATCTGTGACACTTGGCTGCACTGTGCCCTATTCTTTACTCCTTACCTGCCCTGACGCACAGATTTATCATCTGAGATGTACTTCCTATCCTCAGAACTTAAGTGTGGATTTAGGCAAATCTAAGACACTGAAGGCTTAACACCAGGAGGAAGAGGCCATCTTTCCTGTGTCTAGACAGTTACCCCTTCCCCTCAAGCCCAAGTATGTAAGAGTGTCTCGGGGGGGGGGGGGGATGCAAACCCTAGGTCCCACCCACCTGTGGGAAGGCAGGCCATCCATGGCATCTTCAAAAGCCTGGTGGAGGAGGAGTGTGTCTTCACAGTTCAGGTGGATGGAGCACTGGTGATGGGGCAGTGGCTGGCCCCCTGGAGCATTGGGGGCCGCCAGGAAGTCAGGCAGCCTGTCGACAGCCACTGAGGGAGCAAAGAGGAGGGTGAGGGCCCAAAGGCCCTCAGCCTCCAGGATCCTCCTTCTCTACCTATCACCCTGCTCACTCAAGTGGTGGATTAGAAAGAAAAAGTATGGTGGGGGTGGGTGGGTGCCAGGGTGGAGATGTGGGAATAGAGAGAGATGATGATGTAAGGGAGTTTTTCCCAAATTGGGAGATTTCTCACTCAGATAATCTCAAAAGAGATAGCTCTGCAATGTGTGTGACTCTTACCATTGATCTTGGTAACAGGTGACTTGGTGTCTAGCCGGGAGATTCTCTCCACGAACTCCTTAGGAAGCCATTCCTGGAAGAAGTTTCCATGAAAAGGCCTGAAGGCGCCTACCTTCTTCTTTTGTTCAGGATGGTCCTTCAATCCCTACTGCCAGAATCCTTTCCACTCTTCAGAGCTCAGCCAAAGCACCCCCTCTGTGAAGCCCTCCTGGATCCCCTCCAGCTCATCACTAACCATTTTTTTCCTTTGAACTCTGCCAGAGCAAATGTAAATGGCCCAGACCAACTCTTACTTTGGCTATGGCCAGTGGGCTGACGGCCCCTTTTCTCCTCTGCTCTGTAAACTCTTGGAGATCTTGATTATCTCAGAATTGTCTTGACAAGATGCTTTTGAACTGATGTTTGTTGAATTTTCTTAGTGGAATCACTAAGAAAAAATGGTGCCTTGTCCCCCAGAACAGTTCGAAGAATGTTTGGGAGCTCCATACTCATATTGTATCTTTTGGTGACACGGAAGGTATGAATGGTTGTAAAAATTGCCCCTAATCCTCATCCCTCCCTGTATGCACACACCTTTGTAACATCCTCTCACAGTGGCTCTGCGCTTGGGACAGGGGAACGTTAGCAAGTAGGATGCAAAAAGAATCCCGAAAACCACCTGCCTAAGTGAGTTTGCTCACTTTTGCCCTTGCCAGACCCTGAAAACATGCCTGGACTTATCATACCTCAGGATGAAAGACACACAGAGCAGAGCTAGTCAGCCTGTTCATTCCAGCAGAAACTGTCTTGGTCTAGCCATGGCCAGCCAACCTGGGCACATGAGCGAGGCCAGCCACGAAGAGCAGGGCCCACTAGTTGACCCACAGCTGATGGAAGGTGCACGAGCAAGCCCAGGTCAGCTGAACTCAGCCAAGTTCCACTGAATTCTCCAGTTCTGTGTGCTAAGCCAGTATTTCTTATTAAATGCCCAGATGCTGTGTGGTTGTTTCATATGGCATCGATATGGCCATAGATAATTGACACAGATGGTAGAATTAGAGTTGGTTTGAGCAGGAGATCAGGGTAGTAGGATAACTCTGGATTAAAAGTCAGACCTGGGTTCTAGCTCTGGCTCTGCTAATTGCCAGCTGCATGGCCTAGGTCACCTCATTCCCTTGGACCTTTCTCCCCACCAGTGAGGCTTCTTCCCTGTCTGCTACCTGCCTGTTAGAAAAGGGAGAGGACTGGCCTCCCCCAGTGCAGAGACCTGGCACTTGCACCTCCCATCCCCATGTAGTCCTGGGGCCCCTGACCAACACTCCTCCCCATTGTCCCCTGCCGTCTTGGCAGACATCTTGCCTCTAGCCCCCAGGCCTCACCTGTGGTGTCAGCTTCAGGAAGGTGACCTGTGGGGATGCGTTGGACAGCACCACTTTGCTCCTCACCTCCGAGCCATCTTGCAGCACAACTCCTTGGACGCGTGCTTCACTGCTCACCAGCACTTTAGCCACTGCCTAGAGCTCACTGGAGTGAGGCCCTGGGAACTCCCCTCCACCCACCCACCCACGATGGAAAATACAGGTTGGATCTTGGGGGATTTCTACTGTCTGGGCTGCTCCTGGGGCTCACAGCTTCCCCAGCCTGAATCCACCTGCTGGGCTCTGTGACAATGTGGCAAAGCCTCAGTCTACCTGTTCCCATGCAGAGGCTAGCTCTAATGGGGGCTAGGGGCCAGAGTGCTCAAAGGGGGGGTGGTCAGAAGAACTGGGACCTGGTCGACAGATGCTCAGCCATTAACAGGCTCCATAAACTTAGCCCCTTGATTCCAAAGCCTCATTTTCTGCATCAGTAAAATGAGGAAACTTTCGAATTTGACATTTTGTTCTACACTGAGATCCTTGCAAATAGTCAGGGTAAGGGGTGTGTGTGGGGGGAGGTCACTCACCTTTTCAGTGAAGATGCTTGCTCCATGTGCGGTGGCTGAGCTTGTGATGGCATCAGAGAGAGCACCCATGCCACCCTGGACATAGCCCCAGGCCCCCTGCATCCCCTCCAGACCCCCCATCACGTGATGTAGCAGCACATACCTGAGAACAGATCACTGGGATCACTGGTTGGAGGTGGGATTTAACGTCCCTAGAGTTCTAAGCACAAACAGTCCTTTCTTTCTGGTACCTTTAGCCTTTCCTGCCCCCATACTGCCTTTCCCGTCAGCCTTTAAATGGGCTCTAGGCCCCTCTGAGGGCTTTTTACCCCATGCCCTACATTCTCTCCCCATGCAAACATGTCTGCAAGCAGAGCTTAAACACCAACTGAGGTGGCGAGGCCCAAACCCGCAGTTCTAACTCTCTCCTGAGTGCCAGCTACCCCAGATATCCCCCATTTGAGTGTGTTTTTGGCAGGCAGCTTAAACCCATTTCTTTCCCCATTCCCCAATCTGTTTTCCCTTTGTTCTCCCCATCCTACTGATGGCAGCTTCTGTTTCCCATAGAAAGCTGAGGCCCAGTCTCGACTCGCAGCAGTGCCTCCTCCATGCATCAACCCTGTCTCCCAAAGAACTTTTCAATTCTGGCTCCCTGAGGCCTCTTCCCTGGTTCAGGACTCTCCTCCCTTCCTTAAACTTCTGCAGTGGCGTCCTCTAGTTGGACCACCTCCTCCCACTCTTTCTTCCCTGAAGACCTGGAGCCCAATCGCAAAACCCAGCCAAGTCCTGTCAATTCTCTTCTTTGATGCCTTTGCCAGCTCAGCATTGCTCTCAGGGTCATAGCTAGTCTTTGGAAATGGCCCCAGGGCTCTAGCCTCATCCCTCACCATGCTCCCCCTCACAGCCCACATTCCTGCCAAAGTAAACCTCCACATGATCCATGTTTAGCCCCCAGCGTTTGCACATGCTGTTCCGACAGCCTGGAAGCCCCTTCCTACCTTGTGTCTATTTAGCTAATTCTTCTTGTCCTGAGAATCTCAGATTAAACATCTCTTCCTCATGGAGGTCTCCTCTGATCCTGGACAGCATTACTTTCCTGCTCTACTCCCTTCCTAACCCTCACAGAACTCCACTATTGTCATTTGCTCTGTGTCTACCTCTCCTGTGAGTATCTCAGCGCCATTCTCACAATCTAGCCCTGGATCTGGCACAGGTAAGGGTTCCATCAATATTCACTGGAGGAATTAATGGTGAAACAAATTACTTAAAGGGCCACTTCACAAACCGGGCAGTAGCTATGCCTCTCGGAGAGCCACAGAAAAAAGGACAGGAGGCCCCAGTGGAAGATCCAAATTGGCTGGTGGATCATAGAGTTGGCCAAGATATGGCAACCACTGCCAACGCTTCCCTCGCCCCTTTTCCATGGCCCTTGGGAATTTGGAACTGGCTTAATGTGTGCTGAAAAACCACTTCCAAGGGTGGTTCTCATCCTTTGAGAGAAAAGCCATGTTGACAGCTTCTAACTGCATCTTCTGATGCACTGGAAATGGACCAACACTTGGCATCGTCCTCTATCCCCACACCCACATACACACACGCACCCCTTCCATTCCTGCTCCTACAAGGGGTTTGGTAGTCATACCACAGGAACAGACTTCACTGTGTCTGGCTGCCCCTTCTTGGATTGGGCTGTCAACACACCCCCTCACAAGGGGAAAGGCGGTGTCCCTTATGAAGGTGTTTGTGCGTGCATGTCCTAGAGCCCAGAGAAAGGATCTGTGGCAGATGGAGGGGGCAATGGAATTTTGTGGGAGGAGAAGAGATAGAAAGAGGAGAGAAAGATAAGAGGTAGAGAGAGAGAGAGAAAAAGGAGGAAGACGAGTAGGAGAAAGAGAGCAGAAAGCTGTTCATGTTGAGATATCACAGTGGGAGAGAGGCTTTTCTCCCTGAAGCAGTAGGGAGTAGTGACTGAGAAGGAAGATTTTGGAGGGTCAGCTGGAAATCAGCTCTGCCACCACTAGCTGTGTGACTTTGGGCAAGACCTGCCCCTTCTCTGAACCGTGGCTCTCAGATGCTGCTTTGAGGGTCCGATGGGTGCTTGGCTTCGTGCCTGGCTCACTGGGAGAGCTTGGTGAGCAACAGCCGTCAGCACTCTCATTGGGGGATTCACTCCACTCCCAATGCACCGCACCCCTGCACTCACCCACTCCCCGGAGTGTGGGGACTTGTCATGGCTCCAATCACAGCATCCGTGGCCAGAGTGGCTTTTAGAGGCTCAGACTCAAACCACTGATCCAGCACCTGGGACAGCGAAACAGCAACGAGCAAGGCATAGACGCTTTGGCGGGGAGAGGCCCCCTCACTTGTGGGGTCCAGACTGAGGCTGGGGAGCCCCTCACCTTTATAATTGGAGCTGTGAGGACCTGGTAATACTGGGGCAGCTGGGCTCCCAGTATGCGACCTAAAAGAGAAGACCCATAAAACAAAATGGGTCAGGCAAGACGGAGTCATTCCAATCCTCGATAACTGTTTCTATTTCTTTATCTGTAAAATGGGAGTGATATTTCATATCCCCAAGAGCTCCTGTAAGGATTAAATGGCATATTACAGCATTTGCAAGCTCATAGACACTGAATACATTTTGATTGTGGAATAATTTTTGGAAAAAGGTTAACTTGTACCTTATTCCCTTACTCTGAACTCTAGAAGGCCCATACCCCAGGAGGTGGCCTGGTTGGCCAGTCCACTCCCCTGATGCTGATTCACACTATCTCAGAAAATTACTGGGCAGTAAGGACATCCCTGAGGACATGGATAGTGATCTCTAGCTATGGGAGTCCCAGTGCCTGGCTTAGTGTCTAGCATATAGCACTTGCTTAATAAATTTTTTGCATAAGCTTCTTGGACTGGTCATCTCAGAGGCAATGTCTACTTTTGGCATTTGTGGTAGATTCTGCTGGCTCTGATCCTTCACCCCTCCCCATATCCACACACTTTTTCCATGCAACTCTGCAGTGTCTCCCACTGTAGCTGGGTTGACCTGCCCTGTTCCTTAATTCAGGGCTTGCCCACATGATTTGCTTTGGCCAATGGAATCTTTACAGATGGGATGCAAATAGTCGCTTGAAGCCGGCCTGCACATCGGTGCTTGCCCTCTATGCTTCTGCCATTGACAGAAGAAGGCCATGCCTAGAGCAGCCTGCTGCTTCCAGGAGGAGGATGGGAAGCACCTGGAACAAAGCTAGTCTGATTGATGTGCCCCAGCCGTAAACACACATGTGAGGCCAGACCAGACTGAACTGTGCAGACACGTGAGAAATAGATGTTTATTTTTACACGCTACTTGGGTTTTGTAGTTGTCTGTTATGCAGCAGTTTTGAATGAGTACCAACTCATCAGCACTTTTCCAGAATACAGAAGCTAACCTGGTTTTCATAACCTGGAGGAATGGTAGAAAAAAGTAGCATTCTTGGTGAAATGTCCTTTCCCATACCTGTGGCAAATGTCACTAATTCACCATAGAGTTTGTTCTTGCTGAGACCAAATCTAGCATCCTTCCTGGAAGGATGCTTCACTCTCTTGGCCACTCTTTCTTGTTCTAGCCATGACTATGGTGACAAGACTTCACCAAGCAGGCTTCAATCAGCTTTGCATGATAAAACCCGACAGCATCTCACCTCAGATCTGTGAGATGAACCTCTTCATTTCTTCTCTGAGGCATGCCTGGCACCATGACAGGACACCATGGGAACCCACTTGACACCCATGGGTGCACAGCCCAGAAGTTAATGCCCCAGGTAGGAGTTAAGCCCCATGGGGCAATTTCTGACCAGCAGGGGACAGAACCTGATGTATAAACATTTCCTCCTTTTCTCTTGGGAGTGGTCCTCACGTGCACTTCATAGGACTACTCAGGTGGCCCTCCCAGGACCAGCACCTGTCACCTGCAGTGGTGGCCAGCACAGTAGCACACCCTGGGACTGACTCTCCCTCTTTCCAGTTTCACTACTCCTTTCCTTGGGGCCACCCTTCAAGATGAACTCCTGCACACAAGCCTTCATCTCAGGTTCTACTTTTAGGGTAGCCAGGCTAATACCCACTCACTAGAGTGCTCCGGGCAATCCCTATTTGTGGACGGCAGCTGGCAGGCTTATGAAGGTTCAAGCTCATGTTCTATCATCCAGAAAATGGGCTCAGCTCCTTGAAGGTCACTCATCATGCCCTGATGCCTGCACTTGGGACTCACCTGCCTGCAGCAGGGGTTTGAGTGTGGTGAGCGACTGGAGCCTTTGCCACAGGGAACCCCTCTGGAAGGCCTCCATGTCCACGGGGGCTGCATCCAGCAGTGGGTCTATGGCTAAAGCCAACCGATTCATGAATGCCTCATATTTGGGAAAGGCCTGGAACAGAGAGCTCTGAGTCAAGGCCCTGTTGCTTAGAATCCCTGTGACAAGCATATCACCCCCACGCTCTGTCCTCCAGGCTGCCCTCACGTGGCCTGCTGCTCCTACTGGAGCCTTTGTGGCTTCTCAGGCCTCACACCCAGCCTGGGCCCAGCTTGGCTGTGGTAAATTACTCCCAGATCCAGGTCTGTGAGCTGTTGTCAGCACTAGGGGTGGTTAGAGACATCCTGAGCAGATGAGCCACCAGGATGGTGGCAGGGACACGGGCTTATGCTGGCCAAGACCAGTTGTCAGCCACAGAAAACTGGCAAGTATCCTAGGGTGTGGTCTCTGTGATAAACCATAAAACCACTTTAAAGTTTCTTCTCTCTGTGTCGTCTTTCCATATATTATTGGTAAAAGTAACATCTCTTCTCCTGTATTCCAGCATGATGACTGTTCTTTCCTGGTCTGCAAATCTCTGTCCTCTTGACATAAGCAGAAACAGAAGCCCACATCCCTTTGCCCCACAAGTGCAAGTAACAGAATCCATTTCTTTTTTTTTTTCCTCTCTCTCTCTCCTTTTTTTTTTTTTTTTCCAGAATCCATTTCAACAGCGTGGTTAAGACACCCACCTTTTCTTCACTGGGTGGGTGACAGGAGCAGAGATGGATGCCTGTGCCACCGGGGGCCCTACCTCAATCCTCAGCCCCCAGCTTTCAATTTTTGGTTCATTTATACTCATGAATATATCTGTGGAATTTTAATAAGATTACATAAAGAAAAGTTCTGCATTGAAGTATGTTTGAGAAGTCTTGATAAAAACGACCTCAAGCAGCCTTCTCTACATACAGTAGGCCTTCAATGTGACAATGTGAGAAGACAAAGCCAGAAATGGGTTTCCTTATTTTCCACAACAGGATGTGGCCCCTGCCTTCTCCTCCTGTGGTCACTAGCATGCAAGGTCACAGCTACTCTCCTCTAGGCCCGGGGATGTGGCCTGGTCCTGAATCCTCTCTGGTGCATCTGAGATGGTCAGGGTTTGGAGGGGAGGGTAAAGGCTCTAGTCCCCCACCAGCTGCACAGAAAAGAAGCACTTTAAAAAAGCAAGCTCCCCAGGTGGTTCTGGTCAGCAGCCAGGTTTAGAAGCCACTGATTGAAGAGACACACTGTGTGTCCGAGGCTCTCTTGGCTTTACCCAACACTAGGTTACAAAAAGCAACACACATTGATTGTATTAACCTAGGTCTTCTTAAGAAAATGTCCTCACTGAGATATGGGTTCATGCTGTGCCTTCAGCTTGTACCTAGGCCTGGTACAAAAGTATGTCCATGCAAAGAATCTGTATTTGCAAAATCGGTCACACCAGGCCCGTAACACTCCTCAATGGTCCATGTACACAAGGTCACCCAACAAATTCCTTATACTTCAATCCCAAGGAAAAAATGTGCCTTCTCCATCAGACATATGTACTTCCTTCTATCAGACCTGCATGCCATCATGGACAATTTCTTGCCTTGAGCTGCCAGGGGATTGATGCCAAATCAAATGAATATTTATTACAACTCTCCTGTCCTAAATAACTGATCCAGTTCATTCTATCCTTAATTGTCTCTGATCCTCCCTTCATCCTTCTTTATGGCTTTCATGGGTTTTAATATTGATAACCACCTGGAATTCTTTCCAAAAGCAGGAGAGATGGAAAACACATACAGTATAAGTACGCACCAGTGGATTCCCTTTTGAAATACAGCTGGTGGAGACTGCCTGAACAGTGACCTCATACTGAACACACAGGCTTGAGGGGCTCCACTGTCTACCCATCTTTTTAAAAAGATTTTATTTATTTATTTGAGAGAGAGAGAGAGAGAGAGAGAGAGAGAGCATGAGTGGAGGGGGAGAGGCAGAGGGAGAAGCAGACTCCCTGCTGAGCAGGGAGCCTGATTGGGGGCTCATTCCCAGGACCCTGAGATCATGACTTGAGCTGAATGCAGCCACTTAACACAGTGGGCCACCCAGATGCGCCCAGTGTCCGCCACAGGTTTTAATCACTGTTCTCCATCCCCTTCTCTTCAAAGTACCTAAGATCATGGCTAGCACAGACTGGAGCTCTCCTAGGGCAGATGGGACAGCCTGTCCAAGCTCTCATGGTCTTTGGACAACATGTTCTGGGAACTCCAACCAGGCCCAATTCCTTTCAAGAGCCACCTACAAGCTGATGAGGGAGGAAGAGATCCGTTGCCAGTCCCTTTTCCTACCTGGGCATCCTTCCGTGAAAACTGGGCAATCTGCTTCTGGTTTTCCGCCATGTCTGTGCCCAGAAGAAGGGACCTGGGCACCTTGCTCCCCATGCTCTCTTCCAGCATTGGGGTGAAGGAGTAGGGGTTTCGAAGATGAAGCCTCAGCCCGTGTTTCTACAGAACACACATAGCATAGAATTTTAAGGGGTCTGTGTCCTCTGCCCTTGACCTTTCTCTGATTGTGTTTGTAGCCATTTAGGTACCTGCATGCAGTTCCCCAAGGCAGTGGTGCTGCTTCTTATTTTTTAATGTAAGTGTATAAAAAGCATTCTTGCCTAGGCATCCTTTGGCAGGCTATATCATACCACACCACACCACACCATGCTATGCCATGCCATACCACACCACACTATGCCACGTTACACCATGCCATGCCACACTACACTACATCACATTACACCATACCATACCATGCTACCCTGTGCCAAGGACTGTACTGGGATTTATAATGATCACCTTACAGCAACTCTAAGTATACTATCTTCATTGTACAAATACAACAACAGAGTCTCAGAGCAGGGAAATAATTTGTCCAAGGTCACCTTGGGAGGTGGATCTAGGTTTCGAAACCACATCCCTGTGACTCCAAAGCTCTGGCTCTCAGCACTAGTCTATAACTGCTCCCACTTCAGAAATAAATAATTAAAATGTAGAAAGACACAATAAAGTAATGGTTATGTGAAAATCCATACTTATAAGGTAGATAAATTATTCACATCAAAAAATTTTATTTACTTTGCAGACTCATTTACTCCAGGGTCACTTTAAATGGAAGTTCCCTCGATGTATTTAAAATATGATTCGATTTACAAATATTTGACTGGCAAACAGAACTTTCCAAGAGTACATCTACTTCTGTAACAGAAGTACAGATAAAACAAAAAAGGGGCCTGGGTTATCCTCACAAATAAGACTTACTGTTCCCACTAGAGACATCTTTTTTTCTGAAACCTCTCTATTGAGGTATGATCGACATACCAAAAGCTGTGTAGATTTAATGTGTTTAACCTGATGAATCTGGCATCTAGAGACTTCTTTCCCAGACACATGGCCAGCTCCCTGCCCTCTGTGACTGCTCTGCTCACATATCACCTGAGCAGCAAGGCCTCCCTCACCACCCAGCACTTCCTACCCCCTCGGCCTGCTTTCTTTGTCTCTGAAGCACTCACTGCCACCTGGTTAACTGCATGCTTAGTCTTCCTGTCTCTCAGGTAGAATGTCCGTTCTGTGAGCTCAGGGGCACAGTCCCTTTGCTCAGTGCTTTATCTCCAGCACCTAGATGTACTGCAGTTAGTATGCTTTCTGTTGATTGAATAAATGAATGCCATGTTGCCAACCAGGTACATGTCCAGAGACAAACAAGATCTGTGAGTAGAAGTTCTAGAAAACACAAGGAAACAAAAAGAGCCCTCTCCAACAATTACAACCGAAATTTCCCCAAGTCAGAGATATTCCAGATGGCGGGATCACTATGGGTGGAGAATGCCATGGAGGTGAATCCAAACATTGGTAGGGGTTTGGGCTGGGAGACCTCCCGGATCCTTTCTTACACTAAGATGTGGAAATGTCTTTGATCCAAGCGTTGGTTTCTCTCAGGTTAGTAAACTCTTACTCACCCAAGAAGTATCCCTGGTTCCTCCTTTTTCTTTCCTCTCATCCCATCCGTCACCAGTCTCACTGACCAGTCTCCAGAAGTTGTGTGCGCTCCTCTCTATCATCACTGCCCCTCAGCCCAAGTCGCCATCTTGTGAACCACTGCAGCTGCCGCCTCACTGGTCTCCTTGAGACCACAGCTGCTTCTACCACATTCCACACCACCCAACAGGTGGACTGACCTTTTGTGAAGTCACAAACTCCATCCCTCTACTTCCTCTGCCCCTGGCACTCAGGATAAAATGAAGTCTTTCCTTTGCAGCCTACAAGGTCCTGTCTTGGCTGGCCCTAGTCCCTCTCCCACACCTCTACTGTCCCTCTGCCCATCCCTTACCTACTTTCTTCCACCTTGGACCTGTCCATCTCTACTTCCCTCTGATGGAAACACTCTGCTAAGGTGACCACAAGGCTGGTAACTTCTTAGCACTTGCATGTCAGCTCAAATGTCACCTCCTCAGGAAAGTTGTCCTCGTTGGTCAGTCTAGGCTAGATCTCTGGTCCCTATCATATTGCCTTGTCTTTCTTTCTTCAGGTAACACATTCCTCTATCCGAAGTCCTCTTACTAAAAGCAGAAGCCTGGCCTCCGTCCCTCACCATGGTATCCCCACAGGCTTCTCCCAGTGTGGGACACAGGGCAGGGACTCAGAAGCAATTACTGAATGAATGAATCAATACTCCACCCGAATAAGGGACCCAAGTATAACTAATTGAATATGAATAATTTTTTGTATGATTCCAGGACTTTCTTATAAATGGAACCTTTGTCATTCTTGATGGTTTTAATCATGTGGTGTCAGAATAAGAAGAGGGATGTTAAATCACCATTAGATTTGTTAAGCTCACGCAGTTCTCCTCTTATAAAAATAAAACTCTTCCTCTGATTCCCACATGAGAGTTCTCAGCATGCACAGCCACTCTGGGTGGAAACTGATAGGAGGGGACAAGGTGCATATGAGGGACCGGGGATAAGGGAGATGTGAAAGGTGTGGTGCCCAGGCCCCACTGCAGGCCTGTAGAATCAGCCTTTGGTTCAAGGTCCCTTAGGGTCCCATTCATTTCCCAGGCTGTTCTGATAGACCTGAGAGTTTGAGAGCCTTGCCTTAGGTTTCTGGAAGCAAAGCAGGAACATAATGATCTGGTTGGGACCCAGAAGATTATTAGTGAGAGTGGGGAGGGAGGACAAAGGGTTGCCACCTGTGTGAGGTCAAGGCTGGCCCAGGGAGAGCTGGACAAGGTGGCTGCTGACTGATGGAGGAGGAGAGATCCCACCAGCGCGGAACTCTGCCAGCCCAGCCTGGATTCCAGCACTCAGTGTGCTGGGGCCACTGCTAAGCAAACCTGTTATCTAGCAGACAGAACCAGGGGTTGATCTCATATGATGCTTTTGTTGGCAGCTGGAAATGGAGGCCCAGAAGACAGACCTATGGAGGCCCCATGTGGGTAGCGGTACCATTCCCCAGCTAACTGGGGACAGGCCCGTAGTGGCTAGGTCTGAGGGGGCAGCCCTGGGTGCCTAGGGAGCTGCTCTGTCTCTCTGGAGCCTCAGTTTCTCAACTGCCACACGGAAGTAATAATGCTAGCTGACAACTACAGGGGACTGACCATGCCCAGACGCTGCACTGATGGTTAGCAAACATATTAATCACAACAACAGCCTTATGAGGTGGGTACTACTCCCATCCCCATCTTGCAGATGAGGCACCGCGAGGCAGCTGATAAGACCATCAAGCAGGGATTCAAGATGAGCCTGTTGGGTCCCAGAGCCTGTCAGCTCAGCCCTGTCCTCTGCCCAGGTGGGCTGCGTGGACAGCTTCTGTGTGTGACCTCATCCAGGGCAAACTACAATGCGCCAGAATGTGTAAGGCTGAGCAGGACCGTGGTCACAATGCCCGTGGCAGCACACGGTAACTCCAGGACAAGGAGCAGAAGGCAGTGGACCTGGTTCAAGCTGTCATTTCATAGTGTGTGAACGTAACCTCCAAGAACCGTGGTTCTGTCGTCACAAAACGGGAACATTAACTAGTCTCACAGGTGAAGACCAATGGATAGAGCTTTAGAGCTTGTAGTCCAAGTGGTGACACTGGTAAAAGAACTGTTCTTTACTGTTGTTTGGAAATAGAACATTCCAAGAAAGAGTTCAGCTGCCCTCCTATAGATGCCAACCGGCTCATCAGTGTCTTGTTAAATAAGGCGCTCCATATGCCATGTGGGATGGTTAGTTCTGTGTAGCATGAAGAAGGACTGTTTCCTCCCTCCATTTGAGCACCATGCTCCTATTAATGCAGCCCAGGGTCAAAGGCCAAGTCATATACTCAATTCCGTGGGGGCAGGGGGGAGGTTCTAGTTAAAGGAATCCAATAACAAACCATTTTCAAATAAGAAAACTTTTTAAAAAAATAAAGATAATATTTACATGAAAATTTCTATTCTGTGATCCTGAGTTTTCGTCAGATTTTTCAAAAGGAAGGTCTACCCACAGCCCTCACGCCCAGCCACGTCTGCCACTATGTGTCACTGGCACGTCTGCAAGTTGCCTTCAGCGATAGTTTGGTATGGACTGAAGGCCAGAGATGCTTTCCCAGACTTTGGCTAGACTTTATCAGTCCCCGCCTGGCTGGTGGCTCGTTCAGTCTCTCTCTCTGTCTCTGTCTCTCTCTCTCTCTGTCTCTCAGTAGGCAACAGTGGTTGAACGTCTTATTAATTTTAAACTTTCAATTTAGAGCAAAGTTAATGCTAAAATGCTCACAGCTTCAAGCAAAATAAATTAATCAGAGAACGACAATTCTATGATCTCACTCATATGTGGAATTTAAGAAACAAAACAGAGGATCATAGAGGAAGGGAGGGAAAAATAAAACAAGATGAAATCAGAGAGACAAACCATAAGAGACTTAATCATAGGAAACAAACTGAGGGTCACTGGAGGGGAGGAAGGGAGGGAGTAACTGGGTGATGGGCATTAAGGAGGGCAGGTGATGTAATGAGCACTGGGAGTTATAGAAGACTGAGGAATCTCTGACCTCTGCCTCTGAAACTAATAACACTCTATATGTTAATTAATTGAATATAAATAAAATGAAATTAAAAATAAAAAAATAAAATGCAAAAAAAGTGCTCATAGCTTCTTATACAGATGACACATAGGACCCTTTTTTCTGAGTGGAGGTGGCAGAGGCACCAAGCAGGGAGAAGCTAGGTGGGCTCTGGGAATGTGGTCACCAAGCTTATAGAAGAGGCAGTGGGGGTGACAGGAATCTGAAAGGATGGGCAGAGTTGGACCACGGGACCCCCGCAAAGCAGCCCAGGGGTCAGAGGAGGTGAAAGTCCCTGGGGTCCAACTTTCTGCCCAGGCTGCCACCTAAGGTATTAGGACCTAAGATTTGATGAAGGCAGAAATCAGGCTTTTGTCAGAGGCCCAAGGGTTAGGCAGGTGCCCAGCGAGGGCCAGACAAGAGGCCAGAAAGTGATGGGGCCAGGCAGAACTGGAACCCCAGTCCCCGGCAAGGCACCAGCTGGTGTTGCATGCGGGAATGTGAGCCTCGCGTTGACAAGGCTTGTTCTTCAAAAGATGTCCAATTTCCCATTTTAAAGACCCTGGGTAGACTACATAAAACCCATCTGTGGGAATGCACGGAGGAGAGGATGTGGGAGAGACAAACCCTTGGATGGAAGAGAGTCTCCAGGTGCAGAAACCACGTGGGTGCAAAATAGGGAGTCTTCCCCCCAGGTCAGGAAGCTGGGACTGCCCCCGCCGCCCCCCCTGGACCACGGGCACTCTACCTTCAGTTCCAGGTCGGTGTAAATCTGTGGCCTCAGCAGGCTGAGGAGGTAGGATGCTCGGGAGAACTTAAACCCTGAAACAGAATCCGATGAAGACAGTCACCAGCGGTCACCAGCAGTCGCCCTCTGCCACCCTCACACCACCTGTCAGGGCTCACCTGGGATGATCTCCTCTGTGACAGCTGCACCCCCTGTCACAGGACGTCTCTCGAAGACTGCTGTGTTCACCCCCAATCTCTGCAGGTACGCGGCCTGGGGGTTGGGCACACGGGGCCCTCCTTTCATCCCTGGGACCGATCTGCCAGCTCAGGGTCCTTGCTACGGGGTTAGCATGCTGCCCCTTGGCTCAAGCTGTTCCTGCCTCTGGGAAGGCCATTCCCCTTGCCTCCTCTGTAAATTCCCACTTTCCTAGACTGCTCCTGCCCCTCCACGTCCCAGCAGAAGCTGACCTTCCTTCCTGTGTGGCCTGGGTGGCTGTATGAAGTCATACTGCACCCCGCCCAGCCCTGCCTGGGGTGCCCATCTCTTCCAGGTGGGGGTGAGCCTCATGCCTCCTCAAGCACCACGGGGCAGCACGTGAGCTTGGCCTGTGAGTGCTGAGCCAGCTGGCCCAGGTTGTGCTGCTCTTCCGCTTTCTGGCAGGCAGCCTCAGTACCTGAACCGTCTGGCCTCCATCCCCTTGTCTACCAACACCGGGCTGATGATGGCAACACCGGTTAGGCGGCTTCTCGGGGCTGCTGGGAGGATTCACTCAGCTGCCCCCTGAATGGGACTTGCTGTCCCCAGAACACAGGACGTGCTTCATAGATGAAGCTATGATGACAGCTTCCTTTGGGGGGTGACAGATACTGCAGGGTTTTTTAAAAAATTTTCCCCCTAGCACTTCATGGGAAGTCAAGAAATATGTGTTGAATCGAACTGGCCCTGGGTCTACAGACCTGCCTTGCTGGTCACCCCACTACCACCCCCACCAGGGTAACAACAGAGATGGCGTTGCTCAGAAGCCATGATCCTTTTACAAGCTCACTTGGCAGACACTGTGAGTGAATCACCCTGTTTAATGCATCTCACAACCCTCGAGGTGGGTGCTGTGGTTCTTTCTCCCTGTCTCACAGATGAGGAAACAGAGGCCCAGGGAGGTTAACAGCTTGCCTCAGGCTCATCGAGCTCATGAGTACAGGTGTTGGGAATGGAACCCAGGTGGTCTGGGCCTGATGATCGATGCTCCTGACCCAACCCAGAGAGAGGGAAAAAACAGCAGCCCTGGCACTGGGAAGTGGCCTGGCCCTCTGAGGAACACCGTGTTGTTTTCCCATCAACACAAACGGCCTCACGGAATGACTGCCTCAGACGAGGATAGTCTGAGACCATGGTAAAACAGGACAGACCAAGGCCACTTCATAATTTTGTCTGAGTACAAACAAAAACAAGGGCTCTGAGTCACCCACAAAATACTCCCTGCCTCCTGGCTCAGCCAGAGTTAAGTGGCTGCTACTTCCTCACCAGTTAACCCTCCTCCTACTGGGACCCCTCCCAAATAAGATTTATCGAGATGCCCAGTTACAGGGGTGTTTCCTGCTTTCTGATGGTATCCAACCTAGAGCAAACCTCTGCTTCCCTAGACTGTCCCCCAAATCATCCAACCAGAGCTCACATCCTAGAGCAGGTTTTTCCTAACTTCGCTTCCTGAGCATCCTTGAGGTCCTCCAAGGTGTGCACTGTTCACCCTCCCTGCCCCCCAACCCCCGCCCAGTCCACTGCCAGTCATTGTCTGCCTCCTACCTCCTGGACTTCAGGCTGTTCCCCTGGGGGGCCCGGGTCTGTGGCTGAAGGGCACTGACACCAGCCTCCTTTGGGATGGGGACCTCCAGTAATAAGAGTCCCCATCTGTGAGGCTTTGGGTGGCAGCTCCTTGGAGCACATCGTCTGTTCGCCTCACAGCAGCTCTGTGAGAGGGAGTGTTTTGTTCTCATCTCACCCTGGCTCAGGAGCCTAAAGTGACTCACACATAGAAAGTGGCAGAGCTGGGGGACGAACCATGTTTATATTAACATAAAATCAATGTTTTAAATTACTGATCAGTTGAGTTACATGATGCTCCCCATAAAATGTTCAAGTAAAACTATCATGTCAGGGAGAGAAGCAAGATTTAACACACGTCTCAGAGCCTGCCTTCCCCGACCTTGCCGACTCCTCCTGTTATTGATATTCTAGAGCCGCCACTGCCTCAGGGAAATGTTCCATGTTTGTTTTGTGAACACTGTCTAGCATATACTATGGCCTCGTAGGGGTACTGGGACCAGAGTTTGAGAAGCACAGCCTTAGGATAACCCTGCCTGGCTCAGCTTTGGACGTAGGAGCCCGTGGTGTTGGAGGCAGGGCCCTCCCTCCTCTGTTAGACTGGCTTCGTGGTCGTCTCTGGGGTACACCTGGGGCTGTGTAGCTGCTGGGTGCTTCAGGTTGGCACATGGTCTGGACCTAGCTGGGGGCATGGAGGCCCCAACCAGCCCCAGATTCCCAGGCTCTAACACATGTCCCCGGCCATGCCAGTTACATACTTTCCCACCTCTTGATCATCTTGCTTCTGAAAGCCCCCTGACTCTCCCAAAGTCACGGGGAAATGCACATACAGTAAGAAAAGGAGAGGAAAGGGAGCTCCTGCTTTCCTCCTTGACTACTGCTGATCCCCATTTGATAGCCACTGGTCAGCGCCAGGGAGAGGAGACGAGCCGCCTCCCCGTCTCTCTTGGGGCTGCACCCTGCCCACTTCCTCCCATTCTGGCCAACACCGCGTGTCCAGGGGCCAGTGAAGCGGGACAGAGGGGAAGGTACTCACAGCCACCAGCCCGTTGTGTCCTGCAATGAGACAAGGCAGAGGAGGAAAGCACCAGTGGTCAAGGAGCAGACACACTCCTTGGGGAATATGTCACCCATCCCTGTCCCCATGCCCCCTGAAGATCCTGGGGAGGAATCAGAAAGTTGGGCATGGGACTCCCCACCTGTACCTGGATGTTGCAACAGCATCTAGCTTGATGCCATAAAACACCTGGTCTCTAGGGATTCAGAAAACCCTGTTCCTGCTCCAGCTTGAAAAAAGTCCTGTCACCCTGCCCTGGCCTGTGGCTCCATCTGGAGTGAGGGGTGAGGAGAAATCCACAATCATCAGACAAAGCTATCCATCCCATGAAGCATTGCTGGGCTTCCATAGCTTGGGGACGAGCAAGTGGCTGGTGGAGGGAGCATCACAGTTTACTTGGTGGTAACAGAAGGGAAGCATGGCTGGAAGGCTGGTGCTGGACCTCCTTGTCTGGCATGAAATCACCATCCAGGTGCATGCTGGGCATGTGGACAGCTGCTGACAAACACGGCTTGTTCTCTCCAAATGTGGTGCACGTTAGCACCCAGAAGGCTTTAGTCACATGGTTTTGTCTTTGTCAATCACCAATGTTCTCCAAATAAAATAGGAACAATTCAAAATGAAGTAATTAAACACATACAGCTTCAACGTGTGCTAACGGAGTGCCAGCTGATTGGGTGAATTTATCTATCTTCCATATTAAGTTTCTTGTCAAAAATCTCAGGATTTTTGCCCCTGGGTTAGGTGCCCTAAATTCAGCTTGGGATTCCCTGTTCCATACCAGGTCTACTGCTAGTAAGCGCCTCTCCTGCTTTGAGAAGCTTCAGGATCACCTGAGAACTCGTATGAACAATGATTCATAACCCCTCCCTGGAGTCTGCTCAGCAGCGGGCAGGCAGGGACCTGGGATGGATTTCTCCCAAGCCCCCAGGTGATTCGGATGCAGGTGGTCAAGCATGGCCAGTGGGCTGGGAGTGTCTCCTCTGGCCTCACTCTCAGGATACAATGCAGCTGCTTGTGGAGAATCCCTTGTTGGGAAGAGGACAGGCTTGTTTGTTGTTTTCAGGTAGTGGGGACAGGTCTTGTCTGGAACACTTGGCACGTGTTTCTCCTTGGTGACAGAAGGTCACTCTGAGTCTTCAAAGATGTCAGCAGAAGACTATGTTCTCTGAGCACCAACCTGAACCCAGTGTTCACTCAAATAAAATGTTCAGCCATTAATTTGACAAACACCCATAAATAGGAGGCAGCAATGACCCACATGACGGATTTCTTCACGGCTGAGCTGACTTTGTTTTGTATTTTCCACATAGAGACACCCAGAATTTTAGAGGTCACTGAGCCAACATCTCTTCCATTAAAAGAATCTCTGAAATAGAGTTCTTCAACCCTCTTTGACCATGAGCCACAGGAAGAAGTGTGTTTTACACTATGACCTGGCACACATCCCACATAAATGTATTTCACAGAAATGAAAGTTTCATGAACTCATATTAACTCACCATGCGATAAGCATATGATGATATATTTGATTATATTTCATTTAAAAAGACTGGTTGATCTACTATTTTTATATACTTTTGAAAAGTTTCTTAATTAAGGTTTAAAAGCTTTGCTGGATGGGATTCATCAGTGGGTTGCAGCCCGCAGTTTGGAAAGGCCTGGTCTCAAATATATACATTAAATTAAAGGCCAACTGTCCCGGGCTCAACCTGGCTCCTGCTATTTACAGGATGTGGCCCTCAGAGAGTCATTCTGGCCAGCCTCGAACTTCATGCTTCTTGCAGTGATGGAGCAAGAATAACCAATAATATATGTAAAGCACCTGACTCTCAGCAGACCCACGATAAATGGTAACTATTTGTTTCTTAAATAGTGCTGATCATAAATCTTGAAAAACTAATAAAGCCTTCCTGGCAACTGGGTCCAGTTCAACCATCACACCTGAGCCCACAGATGCACACATAGATCTCAAATGACAAAGGTCGATATTCCAACAACCCACGCCCCTCATCCCTCCACCACTCCATCCCCACTCCTGCCAGAGCCCTCTTGGGGCTTCTGGAGATCTCTCCTTTTCCCCTGTGGGGGTCTTAAGCTGCAGGCTCTGATCATCTCCAGCCTCACTCCAGAGATCCTTACAGCCAGGCATGTGGGGATCCCAAGAGAAGCTGCTCCAAACCTGGGTTCTCAAGTGGGGCCTGCAGCCACCTGCATCAGACCCACTCCAAATTCTGGTTGGATGTGCTGACTTTCCCTGAATCCTAATTCCTGGGCTAGGGCCCAGGAACTTCATTTTAACAAGCTTCTTGGGTCATTCTTAGGCATGGTCAAGTGACTAATCAGGGTCATCTTCAAGGTGGCTCTCAGAAAATGCCACTGTTCCTTACTTGGCCCCCAAATGCCCTAAATGGGCTTCCCTTAATGCTTAGCAATTAAACTACATCAAGGAAAAACACCTGAGACTCAGACACGTGTGGGCAAGTCACCCAGGCCCCTGGTGACCTGGAGTCAATCCTCCCTTCCAGGAAACAGCAGGGATGCATTGTCACCAAGGGGAGAAAAACAGGGGCAGTGGTGGGGAGCTTCCATTTCCTGAGCCCAATCAGCGGGGTGCGGAGATGGCATCCCTCCACCCCGGCCAGGAGGTTTGTGACAGTCGTCTAACGCAGCCATTAATAAATTTAGAGTCTATAAACTTACAGTGAAATAAATAAATTGCATTAAAAACAAAGGTAATAAATACTCAAAACTTGTCACTTCCTCATCGTTTTTCCACAATTTACAATGACTTATGCTCTTGCGGTTCTTTACCTCCGAGCACCCGTCAGGGCCTGTGCCTCTCTCCCTAGTGCACGTGCAGCCACCCCACGCTGGCAACTTGACAAAGGGCACAGCTCACACGAAGGGCACCACAGAAGGCAGCGAATAGTACACCTCAGGGCTTGATGGTATTTGTTGACGGTTCGATATAAGAAAGCGATGGATAAAATGCTAACGATGCAGATGAAACCTGACAGTACGCTGTCTGCAGCTGTTTTGCGGCAAACTGCACAAAACCCGGAGAGAATATTCTCCTAGGATGGGAGAAACACAATCTGAGCACAGTTTCTCCCATCACTGAAGGAGCGAAGTTCAGACATGACTCTGTTACCTCACCTCAGTTCTACACTTTAAAATCCGTGCAAAGAGCAAACAATGTTCCCGTCAGAGCTAGCCTTATTGGTCAACAGTAACCACAGGTTTGCTGCCAAGTTCAGCAAAAAATCACAGAAATCTGGGGAGAGCCAACTGGCTACCCGGAATTTAGCCAAATAAGACTATGTGTCTTATTTGTAAAATTGTGTGCTACGCTTCTTTTGTTTCAGTATTTAGCATAAGCCTATGTATATGTGTTTGCACACATTTTTCCCTGGAGGGGTGACTGTGGAACATTTACTGGCCACAACTGCTCTTAGAGCACACAAAAATGAAAAGGGCAGAAAAGAACGCAGCTTTAAAACCGTGATGAGCATCTTCTTTCAATCCTGCCATTGTCTGAGCGCAGTGAGAGAGAATGCCAGAAGTTGAAATTCGGGCCCCTTTGCAAGTGTGAATGGAAGGCTCCAAGCAGAAAACCCCACCTAGGGCCTGCGGCCTCCCACAGTCACGTGGTGGAATCGGACGCTGTGCCGCCTGAGGGTCAGCAAAGTGCAGCAGGTCCCTGCGTGCCCCAGATATGCGGGACAACGGGGGCTGTCACCCTCCACAGGAATGCAGTAGGATCCCAGTGACTCGGTTCTATTTTTTCCTAACTCCCCTTTAAGGAACCTTCCAGTTTCCTCTGGGGGGCGGGTCTCAGTTGTGGTGACCAGAACTCAGAGCACTTGGGGTGGCTGGATCTCATGGGTCTTTCCACCCCTACCGTACGCTTTCCAAGAATGTGGTGGCAACCAGCTAATTCTGCAGGGGATACACGGAAACTCCTGAGCTCACCTATTCCTCCCTGGTCATTCTAGAACGGAAGACCCAAGCCTAGGGGAGGCAAGAATCTGCCCCAGACCACACAGCAAGGTGATGGCAGAGCCAGCCCCACAAATACCACCCCCAGCCCCCCAGGCTCTGAGCAGGGCTGCCCTCCCCCTCAGCTCTGGCACAGCTCCTTTACCTGCTCCTATCACCACGGCATCGTACTGAGGCTTTAGGCGTCCCCTGGCTTCCCAGTGAGCTCGTCTCCAAGGGGGGCAAGGAGAGGCAGCCAAGGCCCTGCCGAGACCTAGGCCACTCGCAGCCATTTCTGCCCAGTCCTAGGCCAGGAATTTGCTTACAATCAGCTTTTTGTGCTGCCCAGGCAGGGGGAGGGGCAGGGAGCAAACCGGAAGAGAGGAGGAGCTGCAGTCCAGCTGCCAACTTGGCTTTGGGCCCTAAGCCGAGGACATGCAGCTCCCAGAGTCCACCTAGGGCAGAGTCTCGGGAGTCGCCTGCTCACCAGAGGTGCTGTCACCTCCAGGCCAGAGAGCAGCCACTATGCTGGCAACTCCAGGGCTTCCACGTGCTGGGAGCTGGGCTGTCCACAGTCCCCACCTCTCATGGAGGCCCCAGAACTCACATTTCATTTCATGGAAGAGGGGCACTGAGGCTAGGAGAAGGGTTGGGGGAGGTCATGCAGCCAGGGGGTGTGTCGGTGGGGTTCCCTCCCAGGCACTGTCCTGCTTCTCACTAAGGAGCTTAGTGTCCAAGCTGTGCTGGGGGTGATTCCCGAGGAGACACCTCCAGAAGCTGCTCTAGCTCCCCATCCCTCTGCCTGCAGGACAGTGAGCGGCTCAACCGACACCCCTAGTGTTGCCATGACTGACCAGGGCCTCAGCAAAACTACAGGGATGGCCACACGTGTCGCCGCGGCCCCTGGTGAGCGAGTGCTCTCTCAGACACTGAAGCACCTTGCACTCAGCAGGCCACTGCAGGGAGCCTGCAAGGGCTTGGGGTTTGCCTTTTTCTTTTGAAGGCTTGGACATCCCTCATCTGTCTCTTGGCACCTTTCCCACTTCCCCAGAATCCTTGAGGAGTAAAGATCACATCTGCGAATATCTTGAGCTCACACACTTTCTTGCTATCCTTTGGCCTGCGATGAATTAGGAGCTCTTTTGTTCTCTGCCCATTAGCTTGCAGGCCATTCCTTCTGTTGTAGGGAAAAAAGCACCCACGAGTTGAGTTTCTGTACTGCTGTGACATCTGTCCATGTTCTAGAAACCTGCTGTTAGAAATGCATCTTAACATAGGGAGAGTATGCAGAGAAGGCGCATCTGAGCAGGGCCTTCTGATCTTTCTACTCACGACTGAGACACCCCTCCCCACGCCAGGTTCACGCTGTGTGAATCTACGCTGGAATCTGAGGCAGGATGTTCACCCGTGCTACAATATTGAAAAATTCAGGGGATTGGCTCAACTAGACATGTCACATCATGCTGCTGCTACAAATTAAGGAAAAATATTAGGTGACAGGAGTGGGTACCCAAAGCAGCAGTGGGCTTCTAGACCTTACTTTTCCCCCTTTCTGCTCTTCTGTGTTTTTCACAATTGATGTTATAAATTTCCATTTGTGAAGTCCCAGTCACCCCAGGTGACACTGTTCCTCACTGCCACCTGAGGATGTTAGCGTGGGGTGTGGTTCTAGCTCTTTCAGTACCTTTGCCTCTTCTTTGCCCCCCACCAGCTGTTTCCTTAACAGAAGAGTCTTTGAGTGAATTTTGGCTCAAGCCTGAAGACACAAAGGCCTGGCTGCTCTCAGCAAGTCAGAAACACTGCTTGGGTGCCTCCTTCTGCCACGGCACTTCTCTCGGGTAGGCTTGGTGCTCTCTTGTCCTGGGGTGGGAGCTTCTAGGTTACAGGAGAGGGGCTGTACCCCTTGGGCAGTGGTTTTCAACCCAGGGCACATGGGAACCAGCTGAGAAGTTTTTAAAAACTCATGGGTTCACTTATACATGGAATTTAAGAAAGGGATTATAAGCAGAAAGGAGAGAAAACGAGTGGGAAAAATTAGAGAGGGTGACAAAACATGAGAGATGCCTAACTCTGGGAAACAAGGGGTAGTGGAAGGGGAGGAGGGCAGGGAAGATGGGGTGACTGGGTGACAGGCACTGAGGTGGGCACTTGACGGGATGAGCACTGGGTTTTATATTATATGTTGGCAAATCGAAATCCAATAAAAATATACATATAAAAAATTTAAAAAATAAAATTAAAAACAAAACAAAGAAACTAAAAAAACCCAAAAAAACAAATCCATGCCTTGGATCCCTACGACTAAGTGACAGGAATCTCTGAGGTAGAGCTGGGGCAGGAGTCAAGACAGAGCAGGGTCTGAAGAGGCCAGGACTTCCAGGCACCACAAAGGGCCCTGGAGCCCAGGCACGTTTGGCTTGAACAACAATAACCACAACCAGCATTTATTTAGCACTTGCTGTGTGTCGGGCAGTCCTCACAACCACCCTAAGAGGTGGGTGCATCCCTCTAAACGTGGGCAAACAGGTTTGGAGTGTAGGAAACCTGCCCAGACTGCAGAGAGGAAGTGGCATAGATGGAATTCCCACCCAGCCAAGGCAGCACCTTTCATTTGGGGAGAGGAATGTGTTCCTGAGGGCGCTCTTTCTCCACTCTATGAGAAGCATAAAGGAGGTATCTTCAGGCACCTGCAGGCACTGGGGACTTCCTGTCTCCCGGTGATAAATGGAGAGGCAGCTCTGAAGGCAGGTGAATCCGTTCTAACCTCACAGCCACCACTGTTTTATGGAGACCCAGGGAACTCCACCTTGGCCTCCCTCCTTCCCCAAAGAGAAGGATTTGGGGGTTTGGTACCTGAAAGGGAGACCAGTCTAGGTGATTTCTTTAAGAGACCTGGGGGGAGGGTTGTCCTATTCCTAGGTGGCTGCTATGCATGGGTACAGACTGCACCAGGGCACTGCGCCCTGGCCTAGAGCAAGGGGATACGGGAGGTCTCCCACAGGCGCCGGGCCAGCTCACTGGCCTGCTGCACTAGCACATCCGTGGGGATGACAGACAGGTGGAGGGCCAGCAGCTCGTGGCACTTGACAGCCTCAGCGGGGTGGCCCTTGCTATAGTAGCGAAGGAGCTTCCTGGAAAAAGAGGCGGGGGCAGGATTCAGGAACGCAGTCAGAGCAGCCCAGCACCTGGCCAGCAAAGCCCTCCCACCCCTTGTGGACCTAACTGCACGAGGCTCAGCCCTGGGCTGAATGGTCCACCCCTCGGGGCTCCCACTCCACATGGGGTCTGGCAGCGTCCAGGCTGAGGGATGCCACAGAGCCAGCAGGGAAGCCTGAGGGCCCCACCACACATACTGACAGGTGCTGCCAAGAGTGAGGCAACCAGAGATGGGCAGAAACCCAGGTGTGTTCCCCACGCACCCCTCTCTCACTGAACACTGGGCTGGGCAGGAAGGAGCTTCCACTGAGGGCTTCTTGGGAGGCATTCCCAAAGGAGGAGCTGCTCCCCTATGGGGGACAGGCACTTAGCTGGGCACCCACTGTTCCCAGCAGCCTTGTGCATCAGGGTCACCTGTAGTAGTCTCCTCCCAGCACACCGATGGAGGCCGAGTCATCTGAGAGGACAGGCACCTCTATTATCTGGAGTTTGTACCCCTGAGGAAGAGGAAGAAGGTCTTAAATGGGGAAGTGATGGTATGGTGGAAAGATTACGAGCAGGAGTCCGACACCAAGTTCAAGCCTGGCTCAGCCCTGCCTGGTGCATGCTCGCTGCTTGAAGCTCTTTTAACTTCGTTCTCTCATCTCTGAAGTGGGAATAACAGTAAGCTCCCAGTGAACACTGGAGGTGATGCATATAAAGTTCTGCGTATCCTGCCTGGTACACATGTGGTAGCTCACATCTATCAGTGCACGGACCTAGACCAGTGACAAGTACAAGCTCGGGAGGGCTGCTGGGAGGGTGACCCTGGGAGGTTTCATGCAGGGTCTCCAAGGGCTAGGCACTGTCAAAAGGCCCAAGTCTTTGCTTTGAAAGCCACTGAAATACCCAGGTTACAAAAAAGGAGGAGAATGGAATTAAGATTTGCAGGGTGGTCCCCTGACTGTTTCGGGCTCAGTCATGTGGGTTCCTCTCCACACTCACATGGGCACTCTGGGGCCCGTCCTGCAGGCAAGGAGGTGCACTCAGTGTGCTGAGTAGCTGCCCAAGACAGCACAGGTGCCAGCCTCCACAGCTGGCTCTGCCCCCACAGCCCTCCATTGGTCTGTCACTCCATCAGGGCCAGTCACGCACACAAGGCCCTGCCACCACCTAGAAGCTCAGGTAAAGGTTGTACACACATCCTGGGCACGGAGTGCAGACGGGAGCCTGCGAGCCAGGAGACCTGAGCCTGGGGTCTGGCCTCATCATTTATGACCCCAGTGGCCATGGCCAAGGCATCTGATGTCAAGGCATCAGTGTTTCTATCTATACAATGGGGCCAGTGATACCCGCCCCAACCACGGCACAGGCTGGGAGGCTGGGAGAGAGCCCGTAAGCACCTGCACTCTGGAAGATGCTGGCTATCGCCCTCAGGGCAGAGTGAAGGCGGGTTGCTGCCAGGAGCAGGAGAGGGCAGGGCCTGGTGGGCGCCGGCTGGAACTTGAGGGGCAGAAGCAACGCAGAGAGCCGGAACACTGACTTAGTGACAAGTGAGGAGAAAACAGAGAAACAGGAAAAGGAAGAGAGGGAGAGAGAGAAACAGCCAGTGAGCTCCCATGACCTATGCTTACACTGTAGTATGAGGTCTAGAGACAAGAACCGGGCCAGGAGGCCCTACTGTCATCTTCACGTTGGCAGGCTGCCTAACTGCTTTGAACATCAGTTTATCTGCCTCTACAATGGGAATGACAGCGTGCCATGCTCCCTAAGTCCGGCTGATGACACTGAAGCACACACGAGCGGCCTTTCTCATGGGGCCTGTGTCCATTTGCTCGTGGGTGACCTGGGCACTGCCTTGGATGACAGCACGAGTTTTCAGAGAGCTGCTGGAAGAGTCACAAAGCAGACACGACAGTGGGACCTCTGATGTTGGGGCCCAATGGCCACGCTTCCCTGTCAGCTCCGCCAGGGATGAGAAGAGGTGAAGAGACAGAAGACTGAACACAGCGCAGAAGGGAGGGACCTCGGAGCGAGCAGACAGGAAAGCACTTCGGTACTGTCCTGCTCCAGGACCTGGCCATACCCACCATCTCGTTCTCGAACCACAGGAAGTAGGAGAAGCAGAAGTCCCCCTCCCGGAACAGCAGTGTGGTGTAGCCCTTCTGCAGGTATCTGCGTGCCAGCCGGATCAGAGACCAGACCTGGGGGCGGGGAGAGAGAGTGCTCGTGGCCTTCCTGGGCCTCAACAGGGCCTGCAGGGTCGGCCCTCTCCCCACAGCAGGCCCCGGGCTCAGGCTCTCGCCTCTGGAAGAACAGCGCCCAGAGGAGGAGCTCCCGGAAGGCCAGGGGCTGCTTCTGCTCACTCGTTTTCTTAGTGCCAGGGCATGGCCTGGATCAGAGTGGGAGCTCAAAAAGAAATCATTATTGGATGGGTGGGCGGACTACCCTCCACCATTACCATGACAATAAAATATACGTAGAAACACCTCAAGTGACTTTTACTATGCACAGAAGCCATAAATTAGTAAACTTATCATTCAGCCCAGAAAATAGCCAAGGACACCATTAGTTAACACAAGGGGAGGTAAGTGTGTGGTCACCTGGAAACCCCTCCTACTGTCCAGGGCCACCCACTCACCCAGTCCCCTCCAGGGCCAGGTGTCTCCCACAGGTTCTATGCCAGGGAGGTGCTGTCAAGTGTTTGGACACACAGAGTACCCTGAGCCAGGCCTGTCCTCTGCTCCAGGGGTAAAGTCCCAACTAGGGCTCACCAAGAGGTCCGACACAAACACAGTAACCAAGGGACAATGCGCCTTATATCCCCTGGGTGACAGTCTCTGGCCTAATCCAAGGACTTTCTGATGCTGCCTGTGACCTGCCCGAGGGAGGACAGGCAGAGACAGCCTGACTCCTCCATTTCCTGGGGCTGGAAAAGCTCAGGGGAAGGCATGCATGATTCACGGCAAGCCTGACTACAGCATAATGTCTAATTACATCTGCAAACAAATACATGGATTTGCTGTATTTTCAAGAAAGCAATTTGACAACATGTATCAATAACCTTAAAAACATTCCTCCCATTTGACTTAGTAATTCCATTTCTGGGAATCCATATTGAGAAAATAATCAGAGATGAGGACAAAGATGGATGCACAAAGGTGTGTCCTGCAGAATTATTTATGACCCCGAGAGCCTGGAAACAATCTAACTGTTCAACATTGGGGAAATGGCTAAGGAAATTATGTTACATCCACATGATGGACTATTGTGGACTTGTTAAGAATCCTGTTTATAAAGAATTAATGACATGAGGAAATGCATCAGATAGAGAGTGAAAAAGTGGGTAAACACAACTGCATCTACGGAATGATCTGTGATAATGACCAACGGCAACAAACTACACAGAAAAATGCAAAGAAATGCCGTCAGAGAACCCCAACAACCTCCAGAAAGATGGCTGGAGAGGCTGATACCAGGGAATGCTCCATGAATTCCGTCTATCTTTGTGCCACATATCATGCTAAGTATTTAACAAATGGCATCTGAGGTGTCTGTAATCATTGCCACTCGAGGACATCAATGGTATCACTAGCCTCCTTTACAGATAAGCACATGGCCACTCAGACTAAGTACAGCCCCAGGCCACATGGCCAGGAAAAGACAGGGCTGGACTGCCTTCTGTCACTCTCTTGATTTTAACCATTAGTGTATACTTTATCGAGACAAATCTAAGTCTATGCTATACCACCTACGACACATACTAATATATAAACATGCACATACTAGTTTGCCTTGAGTCCATTAAAGAAAATACAAGAACCCTCAGAGAATGATTCTTTAGTACAAACCACCTGGTGTTAAATCCTATATTCAAACCGATTGACCTGGGGTCTCTTCTTTCCATTTGAGTTTAATTCAACAAATACTTCCTGAGACTTCTTTATGCCAGGCACAAAGTTAGGTCCTGGCTATTTCCCCCTCTGTCTGACTTTACTGCCCAGACGAGCTCATTCAGGTACATTAGAATATACCCAGGAAGGCTCCGTGTGGCCCTGGGTGCCAGGACCCTAGAGAGAGGAGGACCAGCTGCTATCCTTAGGAGCCTGTGGACCAGCTGGGTGCAGACGCTGACAGAAGAGTACAGTAAGGGTTAAGGCAGGTGTGCTCCAGGCTTCACAGAGGTCCCAAGGCTGGGAGGCATCAGCCCTTCCGGGACAAGGGTCAGGCTGGCAGGTCTCATCTGACAGGGGAGGGGGGGTGAATGGTACCCGGGCCAGGTGATGGTTACCTTGGTTCTGACGAAGGCAGCCAGAGGGCCCCTGCCCAACTCTGATGAAATCCTCTTACTGCTGCTGAGGGAAGGGGCCACCATCTGGCCAGTCGTACGGTCCACATAGATAAAATGCACCAAGCCTGGGAAGTCTTCTAGGTAGGTGAAGGTTGAGTTAAGGTGCTCAAAAAGCCAGGGACCAGGGAGGGTGCTACTCCAGCCTCCATCTAGGCTTCCGGCATGGCTCAGCAGCGGAGTCCAGAGGCCAGGCCTGCCATATACCCCCTTCTCCCCACAGCTGCCATGTCAGCCCCCGCCAAGGATCCCTGTCTTCCGGGAGCGTTTCACCTTTGAACCCTCCAACCCTGTGAAATGTTACGATGCACATACAGCGGATCCCTTGACACTAGCCCATCTAACCCGGGGATTCTCGACCCAACAGGAATAGTGTATGCTCATACTTTATCATTTTCATGAGGGAGGAGTTGAAATCACATACACGGTGAGGCTGGCGTAGAGCAGAGCTACCTAGCTAATGCATGAGCCTGGCTGACTGCCTAACCCACACCCCTCGGTGTGGTTTTATTCATGTCTCCACACTTCACCTTGTGAAGCTGGACAGTTCCTACTAGACAGGGAAGAGCCAACAAACATGGCAGGGTGGTGGCTGGTGGCTGAAGAGGGCCTCTGTCATCCCTTTCATATGCATTCTGAGGTCTTACTATAGGAAAAGCTGCTTTATGTAAAGTTCTAGGAGAAATCAGTATTTGATAAATCTAGTATTCCATAATAAAAGGGCCAAATAGGTCTTGGACAAGGTTTTTTAAACAGGGATAAGCATATTTGGTGCAGGCCTTCTCAGAGCCTTCGTGTTCCACTGTGTACTGTAACTTCTAAGGAGGGCATGGCCTGCCTACCTACCTGACCCCAGGACCCCTGTCCGTCCTAGAACACCTGTTACCACTTTGCTGGCTGGACGTCAACATCAACAATTGCCAAAGCTTTTATGACGTAACCATGGGACAGCAGGAATTTGTGAAATTTCCATCTTGGAGCCTTCCTACAGACAAGCCACCCATGACGATATTTCCTATTCTCCTTTGGAGTAAAGGAGCTGAGGCAGTGGAGTACACCCGCTTTTTCCCAGAAGCCCGCAGTCCTACCGAGGAGGCAGGTGAGGGGATGTGAGGGGCTCGGCGTGAGGATATGACACCATGGTGACGTTCCTCCTACTCTTCACCAACAAGAATTCCCTCCAGTCCATCAGCTTTTCTCTGCCGAGGAAGCGGGGAGGCGGGTTCTGGTGCGGTGTCCCCCCACCCCTGCCCGGCCACTCTGGCTCCCCAGGGCCCCACCCACACTTACTGCATGGTGGCCTGGACCTGGTGCTGCAGCTGCTGGGGCAGGTGCGGGCCCCCACGGCCGGGAGCTGTGGTCAGGAAGCTGAGCCGGTAGATGGCACAAAGCTGCCGCTTCACCTTCGCACAAGCCTGGAGCAGCCTGGTGCCCGGAGAGGGTAGCATGACCGCAGGAAGGGCCCGGAGGGTGGGCCATCCGCATGCGAGCGGAGGACACACACTCGGGGCCGCACTCATCCCATGGGCGCCCCTGTTCCAGACCAGTGACAGACGCAGCTGCTGAAGCACACCCTTGTCCTCAGAGGGACAGGAAGGAGCCCGTTCTCCCCCTGGTTTCCTCCAATGTGGTCGAAGCTCCTGGAATCTCACCCCATCCCATGGTTTATGCAGAAATGAGGGGAGGTGTACCCTTCAGGGCTGAAGCTGGGTGGGAACTTGGCCTCTGCTCCACCTGCAGCCCCTCTACCTCCCAGTCTCCCTCCAGCATCTGCGGCCCGGATGGACTCCTCTCTCTGGGAAGCCCCTCCTTCCTGAGCATCCTCCTCTCCCTCTTGGCCTGGAGGAAACTGCCCCTGTCCAGATGACTCTCCCCATCCTCAGAGCTGACCACTCACTCCCAGGACGATCCAGGTTCGCTTCTGGAGAAAGCCTTGCTCTTGAACTCCAGCCAGGTGCTCTGTAGGATGAGGGACAGGGTGGCTTCCTGACGATGGCCCCACAGTGACGTCCAGGGGAGCCCCTTGTGACACTGGGCTCTAAGAGGGACCCACACCCCCCGACTGCTTCAATATTTAGGCTCAACACACAGTCGAAAGCTGGCTTTCTGGTAGCTTTCTGGGGTACCCCCCACCCCAGTTCCTTGCATCTCACCATACCCACCATTCTCTTCACTCAGCAGGCATCCCTTTCAAGAGCAGTTTCCATGTAGCAAGCACTGGGCTCACTGCCTTGCTGGACTAATGCTGTCAGAGGGACATCCCAAAGAGGTGCGGCCATGGGGTAGGCACTGGGGTGCTAAGGTGGGGCCCTGGCAAGGTCCTTAAAGGGGGACCTTGCATTCTACCCCCAGTGTTGACTGTGGTGGCCTGGCGCACCATGAGACGCTGGGAGCACACCTCAGAGCAGCATCTAGGTCTGAGTCTGAGCTTCTCTCACTTGCTCAGTCTCCTCCAATCTTTCTCCTCATTTTCAGATGCACATGTATGGCAGCCACAGTGAATCTTGGGTTCTCAGACAGACCCAAGCACGACCAGCTGCTTCCCCTGGGTGATCTACCCCTCCCAAACTCCTTCTAGGCCCCCCACAGAGACTATGTGTTTCTACTGTTTATGTCTCACCAGGCCTCATCTCTGACCTGGACTCTGGGCCCCTGAGGTGGGGTGTTGGCTGTGTCCTGCACTTGTGTGTGAGCTGCCAGACTGTGAGGGGTGCCAGGCCCCAGCCGCTGGCCCTGAGTAATCTGAGCCCTGGTTTCCTCACATAAAATACAGGAATTAGAATTCATATCCTGCCAAACTCACACCAAAATGCTCTGAAAATACTGAGTTTCTGTTATCATTTCATGATGAGGGTCACAGGCCTATGGTGGGGCAGCAGCAGGAACCAGAGCTTCGGCCCCTCACCCAGCATGGACAGAACAGACCCCCCTCCCCCAGCCCTGCCTCCTCTCCTGGAGGCCGGCATATTCGGAAATCAGATCTTACCTGAATCTCTTGCCCCCCACGATTCTTGACAAACTTGTCCATCCTCTGACGCAGGTCCCCCATGAAGAGGTGGGAGCGCAGGGTGTTCCCGGCCTCCTGCCCCTCCTTCAGCTTCTTCTCCAGGAGAGAAAACCCCTCCAGCAGCTGGTATAGAACAAGGGCCAGGGGGGTGCTGGGGCCCTAGGGGAAGAAATACAGGGCAGGAAGAACAGGGGTACCTTGTGGAAAGGTGTCAGGGCTGGGGCATGGCTGAGGTTGATGGGGGTTGCTCCCACCTTGGTCAGGAGCACCATGTTGATGCCTGGCCACAGGGGCAGGCAGTACACAGTGTGGGGCACCATGGGGCAGTGGTTCTCTTTCACGTTGGCATCCAGGAAAATCCTTCTGGGGCGGGAAGCAACTAGGGTATGAGGGACCAGTGTCTGGAGGCTGTCTTCAGTGATCTGTGGAGAAGAGATGCCACTGGGAGGGCTGGGGTGGGGGAGGCTGCTGGGCCTCTGCCCATGTGCCCACCCACGGTTGCCCATTCATGGTCTCCCTGTGAACCAAGGGGGTAGACACTTTAGCTCCAAGAAAATCCAGTTCTTAAATCCCTGCGCTGTTGTGATGGCCCTGCTGTTCGTCTCATCTCTTGAGCCCTTCCACCTGGAGTCAGGACTGGATGGCAAGCAGGGCCCACGGAGAACAGAACTGGGGAAGGTGGTAGAAAAGAGGATAAAGGGGCAGAAAAAGTCAGGGCTGGGGGCAGCTCCCTCCCAGGCCTTCACTGAGACCAAAGCATTCCAATAACAGGGTCATGCTACACAACCTCACAGCATCTGGACAGCAGGTCCCATGGGGGAAAACTGAGGCGTAGAAGGACTAAATGAGCAAGACTCCAGCCTTACTAAATAAGAAAGACTTTAGTGGGAAAAAGTAGAGAATTCAATCACCAGAGATGCCCCAAGACCTTGTCCATCGGGGAGGTGTCACAGTCTTAGTTGTAACAGCCAAAAGCTGGCAACAACGTACTAGTTGCTATGCAGATTTGCCAAATCAGTAATAGAGGCATGTGATGGACTCTTAAAGTCAGTGCGGAATAAATGGAAAAATGCTTAAGGAAATGTAATGAAGTACATGAGGATTCAAATTTGGTAAAAGAGGAAAAATATATACACCATATGTGTCAGTACACACACACACACACACACACACACACACACACACACACGTGTATGTACCTATATGTATATAAAATCAGAGGGAAGACCAGAAAGAAACACCCAAAGATCTTAATAGTGCATCTGAGGGAAGGACTGAGCATTATTTTTATTCCTTTTCCACACTTTTATACTTCCCAGTTTTTCTACAGCAAACATGTTTATTTCCTCATTTGAAAAAATCATTAAAAATCAAAGTGGATGTTTAGTCCCAACAATAGTGAGGAGGGTGAGATCTCTCAGGAGATGAGGCCACCCTTCGTCCACCACCTGCCTGGCCCTGGCCCCTGGCATGAGCTCTGTCCCCATGCTGACCAGCCCTGAGGTGACAGAGGAGGGCCAGCCTCGTGCGGAGTCCTGGGGAGGAGACACCTCAGAGCCCCCTGTGCTCAGGGGGCCCTCCCTTTCCTGGGAGAAACTCACCTGGACCTGAGGAGCATCAGTTGGGGGGGTGCCTTCATCCAGCCAGACGGTGCTACCTACAGGACACAAGAAATAAGGTAACATAGATAATGAAAACATGAATAACAGCCCAATGGCATGTCAGAAATGGGGGGGGGGGGAGGAGCAGAGGGCCTGGCAGGTACAAGGGCACCAAGTGGGGGCTGGAGCAGTACTGCCCTGCTCATCTCATCTGACCCCAGGCCAGCAGTGCAGGGTGCACTGTACAGTCTCATAGTTAAAGCGGCCTGGGGAAGAGTTGCACCCCCCAGGGCCCGCTGTTGGGTGCAGGCTCCTGAGGATGGCAGGGGGGAGGTGAGGCATGTTCTCCTCAGCCCCTCCTTGGCCCCCTGAGCCCTCTCCTTGATTCCACCCTCTCACTCTTTCAGGTTTCTCCCTGTCTACCACAGGGCCTCTTCCCCAGGAGGCAGCACACTTGTTCAATCAGCAAACTTTTACTGAGCACCTACTATGCCCAGAATTGAGCACATCTCTTTTCCCAGTAGAGCTCACAAAAGCTTACTGAACCCACTACGTATTTGAAATATTACGTTTGTAATAATACTCTTCTCTCTTATATTTCATTGCAAATAACTACTATTTATAATCATTTCTCTTGGGAAGCCTGTTTCTACGTTTTGAACACCTGATTTACAAATGAATGAGTACAACTTCAAGCCTTTTGTAAGCGGTGAGTTCCAGGCACTGTGAAATGGCATTATTTACAGCTCTGAGGCATAAAAACTAACCATGGAGAAAGAGGCCAGGAGGAGGACTGTGATGAATGAGGGAAGGGAGTAGTAAGAAGAAAAGGGAGCCTTGGTGATCACCCCAGAGTGGTGTTTTTTGATGTGTTCTGGGCTCCTGGAGAGCTTACAGACTCGAGGGTAGCTACAGAACCCAGCCCTGGAGAGATGTGCAAGCCCACAGGAGTTGGTGCACAATCTCAGAGGTCCCTGGTTCCAGGTTCCTGGTAGCCCATCCAAAGACTTAAAGTTAAGAACATCTAACCTGCTGGTTTTCAACTGTGGCTGCACATGAGAGCTTTTAAAAATCTGGATGCTAGGCCATGTCCCAGACCAATTAAGTTTGAATCTCTGGCACAGGCAAGCCCAGCTTCAGTGGTTTTTAAAGATCCCTAGGTGAGAACATGGGGGAGGGCTGGCAGGGCTGAGAACCACTATCTAACCTACATCTGTGCAGTGCTGGTTCCTACTCTGAGGCTCACAAGCCACACGGGGCAAGTCTCTAGAAGTATTCACATCTGGGTCCCAGCCCTCAGACTATAGCTTAACCGGTTTGGCTGAAGTGGCCTGGGTGATTCTAATGTGCAGCCAGGGTTGAGAACCAGTGGTTTAAGGACACCACAGAGCAAATTCATTTCAAAACTTAGTCCCCAGAGGGTGCCTGGGTGGCGTAGTGGTTGAGCATTTGCCTTTGGCTCAGGTTGTGGTCCTGGGGTCCTGGGATTGAGTCCTGCATCGGGCTCCCCGCAGGGAACCTGCTTCTCTATCTGCCTGTGTCTCTTCCCCTCTTTCTGTCTCTCATGAATAAACAAATTTTAAAAATCTTAAAAAAAAAAAACCTAAACTAAAAACAAAACTCAGTCCCTGAGAAATGTCTTCCGAAACCCTGGCCTTCTTCTATTAGGTCACACAAACGATACAATCATTCCTTCTTCCCAAGAACTTCAGAGAGGCTACAACAGGACAGATTTTGGCTTTTTTCTCGGCAATGTTATCTATTGTTTTGTTAGCAACATTTTGAATATTTTGTATCTCTTTTTATTGTTCACTCACCCACATAATCTGGAAAAACAGGTATATAAATTGAATATCTGTATTCAATTATACTTGAAAGTCATTATATACTTGAAAACAAACTATTATTAATTTTAGTTTCTTATTGATTACCCCCCAAAAAAACAGAGAATACACCTAGGGGAAATGAATTTTTAAATGAAATCAGCTTGTCACACAGCTTTAGGTCTCATTTGAGTGGCTGCACTTTCATTCACACTGGAGCTGGCAGGGTGGGCAGAAGGGGACCTGCAGGCGGCATCCTGTGCTCTAGGAATCTGGGTGTCTGTGCCTGGGCCTCCTCCTGTTCCTGCCCAGGCCTCACCTGAACTCTGCTCCCCAGGAGAAGGAGCTGGTGTGAAGTACTCCTCAGGGAGGGAGAAGCTGTCAGTCTCCTGGGAGGGAGAAGAGGGCACCTTGAGCTGAGGGCCGGGAGAGCCTCTCCTAATGGGCTCAACCTTGGGCTCCTCTCCCCTCCACATGGTGGGCACAGAGCACACACAGTTGTTGCCGAACTCCTCCTGGGCTGGGCTGTGGAACCAGGGCTCCAGGTCTGCTGCACAGGGATGCTCTGGCTGGACCGGGGCTTCCGTGGAGAAGGCTGCCATGGGCAAGGGAGACCCAGTTAGAGCTCCTCTGAATGGCTCCTCCCTTCCATCCCTTCTCCCCACGGAGGAGCCCTATAACCCAACCCCTGTGCCTCCCACTGCCACCATGCAGCCCTGGGTGGGCATCCTGACTTTCCACAGATGTTTCCATTCCAGGTGGCCTAGTCTTTCTCAAGAACCACCAAAATTCCCCAAATTCCAACACACTGGCAACCAAACCACCATCAATAATGGGGCCAATGTTGGCGATGGTGGTGGCTAGCACCTACAAGCACCCCAGGCATTGGTTGGGCCCTAGTTAAACTGTGCCCTTTACTCCTCCAAACAACCTTTATCCCATTGCACAAATAAGGGAATCAAGGCTTAGAGAGGTAAGTACTCTGAAAATCTGTACTTTTCACTGATTAAATCTCATGCATTCTAGAATCTGTTATATCTGAAAACAACAGGAAGTCTAGGCCAACCACATGCCCAGAACTGTGATGCAGAAATACAGCCTCCCCAGCAACCTGCCAGACTGGGTTTCAGAGCTGCCCATGGAGCCGGCCCCAGACCTGAGGGTCATCATCGTCCACTGTGCTCTCACTGGGGTAGAGATCCTGGACCAGGAGAATGAGGGCGAGGAGGTCGGCTGGGCGCAGGGGGCTGGCATTGTGGCTGCAGAGAGAATGTACAGCTGTCAGCACCCAGGGTAGGCAGGCTGAGGGAATCTGGAGCATCGCCCCTGCTCTCGGAATTTATGAACGTGTCGGCTAGCTTCATCCTTCTTGGAGAAAGGCAAGGTACAAATAAAATTAACTAGTTCATTAATTTTTAAAATAAAACTTGGTGTGTGAAAGAAAAAAAAAATCTGGACCAATGTGAAAGCACTGGGGACCAGTGGGGAAATTCTAAGATTCAGATTTGGAGGCAGCGTTCCAGGAAGACCTAATTCAGAGAAGAGAATGAGCAGAGAGTGTCAAGAACTGAAGAGTTAAGTAAGTTGCAGGGAAGAGATGGGTCCCGAAGGTCTTCTTGGCTGGGGAGGTGGTGCTTTCCAGGCAGAGGGAATAAGGGGTAGGAGTCTGGGCCACCCCGCCTGCCAGGACCAGAGCTCACCTGGAGTAGAAGGCCAGCAGCTTGGAGTGCACGAGCAGGAAGGCGTGCAGGGCCTCCTCGCCGGCCCTCTCAGGGCTGGAGTTGACAGCCTGGATGACGTGCCGCTCCAGGGTTTCTATGCACAGCTCACAGAGCTGTGGGTGAATCAGCCGCTCCACAGCCTGGCGGGCAGGGAAAGGAAGCCAGGTCACCTGCCACCCTCCCCAGTGCCAGGTCCTGGGTGCTGGGTATATTCGCTTGGTTCATGCTGAATGGATGCTATTTGCCAGACACTCGGGAACAGGGTGACTTGGGGCAGCCTTCCTGGGGCTTATGATCTGGTCACTAGACTTTACTGGGTGAGACAGACAATATCCAAAAATCTGCCAACTCTAATAAGTGCTGTGTAGGAAACACCTGGTACAGAACAGTGCCTGCTTGGGTAGGGTGTCCAAGGAAAATGTCCTTGGGGAAGTGACCTCTAAACTGATATCTAAAGAACAAGAAATCCTGTCAGAGAGAGTGGAGGGGGAGAATGCTGCAGGCTGAGAAAAGAGCATATGCAAAGGCCCTGAGGTGGGAAGAGAGTTTGGAGCAGTGCTTTCCAACTGATATATAAGGCAAGCCCTATGCATAACTTAAAATTTGCTAGTAACTACATTTAAAAAGTAAAAAGAAATAGGTGAAGTTAATTTTAATAATTTATTTACCCAATATATCTAAAATCTTATCACCTCAGCATATATTATAAAAGCATTATCAATGGAATGTTTGACACTCCTTTTCTGTACTAAGTCATCAAAATCCAGTATATATTCTACATGGACGATGTAACTCAATTTGGACAAACTATATTTCAAATGTTCAATAGCCAAATGTAGCTAAATATCTGAACTGGACAGAATTAATGTCAAGTACTCCTGAAATGCAAAGAAGTCCTGGGTGGCCAGTACACAATGAGCAAGGGCTGAGGGACATGAGATGAGGGTGGGGTGAGTCCTGTAGCAGCAGCTTATTATACAGGGCCTGGTAGGTTCTGGATTTTATTCTAACTGCATTAGTCCATCTCTTACAAGAAGCTTTTCCAGATGTCTCAGAAAGAGCTGACCATGCCATCTTTGTGCCACTGTAGATGTGGATGGGAAACCCAAAGTGGCAGCGCCCAGGATGCTTTATTGTATTTTCAGGTGTATTTGTATGGCTGATTTCCTCTCAAGGGCATGGATTGTGTCTTTATTCATCTCTGTTCCCAGGGCCTGGCACACCTCTTAGCATACAGTAGGTACTATACATTTATCAGAGGAGTGAGTGGGGCGTGAAAATGAATCCTTCAGATCTATTTTCCAGTTCACTTATTCTCTTTCTAGTTATGTCTCATCTACTATATAACCCATCCCTTGAGGTTTTTAACAATTATGTTTTTATTTCTAAAATATCTACATGAGTTCTCCTCTAGTTTTTACATGTTTAAATATTTCAAAGTTATTTTATATTCTGTACCTAATAATTCCAGTGTATCAAGCTCCCTGGGATCTAAATCTATTGCTGACTGATTTTCCTCTCACTTGTGGTGGCTCATGTCCTTGTGCATCTGTTAATTGTGAGCTCATATTTATTTGCTCTGGACCTGTCCTCTAAAGCAGTAGCTTTCAAAGTGCAGTTCCTGGACCAGCATACCAGCTTCACCAGCAAAGTTGTCAGAAATGCAAATTTTAGGGTGTCTGCGTGGCTCAGTCAGTTGGGCTACTGCCTTCAGCTCAGGTCATGATCCCAGGGTCCTGGGATTTGAGCCCCGCATCAGGTTCCCTCTTCAGTGGGGAGGCTGCTTCTCCCTTTTCCCCTGGCTTGTGCTCTCTCTCTCTCAAATAAACAAATAAAATCTTTTAAAAAAGATCCTCATACAACCCCACTATGAGAAAAGTGAGGCCTGGCAACCTTTACCTAACAAGACTAGATGATTCGGATGTACAGTAAGGGTGAGAACCACCAATCTGGAGAAAATCTGTGTTTGTCTACACAGGGAGCCAGGGAGTGGTAGGTCTGGGCTTGATGCAGGGAGTCTCAGGCTCAGCTCCCCCCACAGCTGAGGACCAAAGTTAGTGTTCTGGTTACAACCAGATGTTGTAATGGTGTGTTATCACCATCTGCACTCAGGCAATCTTGCCTTCAGTGTTGCTTAGTTTTCACTACTTTTCCACACTAGTTTCAGCTCAATATAATTTTGGGGCGGGGAGGTCAGAATTGAGGGTTATCTTCAGGATTTCTGTAATTTACTGTGAGCCCAAATTTGCACTAAAAAGCCTATTTTACCTAGATCTCACTGTTTTATCATAGGGAACACAGCAGAGCATCTAACCCACCAGGTGGCCACAAAGGGCAACCTTTGAAATGCAACAGTTTGGTGGTCTGCCTATGACAAGGCACTCACAATAGGGATGTGCGAGTCAAAACATGGCCCAAAAGTTCCTGAGCCCTCCGACCTGACTCTCCTGGGGCCTGAGCACTCCCACACCCTGCAGTCACCTCCACAGCGAAGCACTGCTCCTGCTCCCGCAGGCGGCCATAGGTCCACAGCAGGCTCTGGAAATGCTCCCATACTTGGGCACGCTGCTCCAGGTCTGGGGGACGCAGCCTGGGGGCAGAGTAAAGAAGACCCTGAGAAAGCTGCTTGTCCCCACCTTGAACCACAGGAGCATAGCTCTCTTTGGGGCTGGACGAGCTCCTGTGACGTGGGCAAAGGAGCGGCAGAGGCCGCCAAGCACAGAAGGGCCAGGCTGTACGATGGACGTGGAGTGGGATGCTTGAACAGACCATTTCACTTCTCCGGCTGCCCCTGCCCCCCCAGACCTACAATATGAAGCCAGATAGAAAGACCCAGGGACAGGGAGTAGGTGAACAGCTTCACAGAGGCCAGGCACACATAGCACGGCCTCGAGAAGGTGCTTAGCATAGGACTCAGAGGGGACCACAGGAGGACTTACTCCTTCCGGATGAGCTGGCCATCCACGGTGACCAGCCCAAAGTGGACCTCAAACAGGTACTTGAGCACGCACAGCTTCTGCCGCAGGTCCCCCTCACCCTCACTGCGGTCTCCATTGATGGCAATGAACAGGCATTCTCCAAACTGTAAGCAGAGGGGGCGGGTGTCAGCTAGCCCCAGGGACCCTGCACCAGTCCTGATCCTCGGGAATGGCGAGGGGAGGCTTAGAGCCCCAGGGGTTCAGGGAAGGCGTGGCTTTTGCCTTCTAAAGGAGTCTAAAATTTGAGGTAAGGGAGAGGTGTGTGGACAGCCCATGGAGCATAGGGAAGAGGGACATGGGCTTGGGCTACACACTCACCAGGTGAAGAACGTACAGAGAGCTGCCGTTTTCTGTGGAGAAGCAGGTGTACGTATCTGAGAGCTTCTCCAGCATAGTCATGGAGGAGATGATGACTGGAGCCAGGAGGGTGCTGAGCTGGTCCTCCAGGGCAGGAAGCTGCAGGATGGGAAGGAAAGAACGCTGCTCAGAGTGCCAGACCCCAGCGACAGAGGAATGAACAGGACCCAGGCCTCCCCAGCGAGGGTCTTCACAGTTTTAGACATGCCTGGAAGGCACCACAGTCCTGACAGAGAAGAGGGCAAGAGGACACTGCCCCCTACACCATGGGTGGCAGTTAGAAAAGGCTGGGAAGGCTCAGCCAGATTCCCGTGCTCTTCCATCTCTGAATCTAGAAAGAAACAGTAAGGACTGAGGTCACCTCTCCACACTGGAATGTCTGGGGGGCATTTAATGGAGAATAGACGAACTCTAAGGAAGTTCTCTATGTGTCCCAAAGTCCATGCTTTTTGTTGGGAGTTAAGTCTACTTTGGGGGAACATATCCTAAAAAAAATGAGCAGGGATAGGGCAAAGACCCACACACAATGATGTTCACTACAGTATAATTTACAGCAGCAAGCAGCTGTAAAAAACAGAAATGCCCAGCACCAGTGCTCACCTAAATGATGGAAGGATATATAGCCATCTAAAATATTGGAGTGTTTTGATGACATGGGAAATTCCTCTGATACTATGTTAAAAAAAAAAAAGTTGTGAATAGTCTGTATTTAAAAATGCATAAAAAAAACAACGTATTGAAAAAAAAAACATTAAGAAAGTCAATGCTACGCTGTTAGTTATTCCTTCTGGCAGAGAGAGTATGAGGGACCACCCCTCCTTGCTATGTTCTGGATTGTCCTGATCTCCCTAACAAGCCAACCTTCCCTTGTACAAGCTCTTCTTCCAACTGTTCTCTCTGCCCCCCAAAATAAGGAACACAACAAACAAAACCAAGAGAAACTGGACAAATCTGTTGAAAAATCTGGGAATACAACTGGCATAAAGCCAGCAGAATGGTCACCACTCAAACCTGCCTCACTGCAAGGGGAAGACAGGGGATAGCTGACCTTCCCCATGTCACCTTGGGAGTCTTGACTGAAATACAGAGAAAGCCAAATCCCGAGCTTGTGAAATCTGGAAGGAGAGGAGGAAGACCCTGCCTTGAAAAGAAAAACAGGCAGCCTGCTGGGGCAATGGCAGCATTTACCACAGAAACTCCATCAGCAGCAGCACAGTAGTGCGAATTTCCTTCCAACCTTCTCAGTGCTCAGCAACTGACTGGCAACCGAGCTGGGTCCTGCTGCTCCGGGGTCTGCTTGGCAAGCTTTAGCAGTGGTTCCTGTCCCCCACCTGGGTCTCAGCTCTGCTGGCCTCTCTCCTGTGTTTATGGGCACCCGGGTCACCGTCTATCATCCCTTCCCAGCCCTAAGTTCTGTGAGAGCAGGCTTGTGTTGCTATTTCACTGATTCACCCCCGGAAGGCTGGTACACAGTATGTTCTCAATTAACATGCGTTGAATGAATATCCCTCCACATAGGCAAACATTTGTTGAATTATTCATGCACCACAATTTTCTTGAGCTGTCATGAATGAATTTGGTTAACAGAAAGTCACTTAAAAAAATCTAGATTGTGTACAGCAACTCCATTTTTAAAGTAGTTGCTTTTTCTGCAGGTGTAGCAAGAATTTTTTTAAAAGGCTAGGGAAGATGAAAATATTTGGCGTAGATGGAGTGTAAAGGAATAACTATTACTTGGAATTATAAAGTGGTACATTATCTCTGAATGGCTTTTGAATCAATGTTTCTATTTATAGGAAATTATCCTAAGGAAATAATGGGATGTGGGATCAAATTCAAGCATAAATGTTCCCTACAGCAATAGTTTTAGCAAACTAGAAGCAATATACACGTCTAGTATGGGAAACATGGTCAGATAAATGATACATTTATTTGTACACTGGAATATAATGCTTCCATTAAGATTTATGTTTTTGAGAATATTTAACAAAAAGGAATACTGCTTTTGATATAATGGCAAATGGGAAAAACAGGAAATAAAACTGTAAATGTGGTATGATCCCAACTACGCATAAAAGATAAAGACCCAAAGGAAATATGTAGAAGAGCTAATGGCTCTGGTACTAGAATTATGGGTCATTTAAAAACGATTTCTCTGTATTTCCAAATTTCCTACAATTAATTCATGTTATTTATAGAATCAGGAAAAAAAGAAACGTTAGGTACATAAAAAATAAAATTTTGAAGGCATTTTTTTCTTTACATTAGTCATTTAGGAACTGAAAAATCAGGAATTTTTTCCTTTACAAGATTTTTAATAATGAGGAAGATAAACACTATCACATAACTTGCTTTTGTTTTATTCATTCATTCACCTATATATTAAGTGACTTTATGTCAATATTATGGCAGGTTCTGGAGATACAGAGGTCTGCTGATAGTTTCCTTCTTCAATTGACTTGATTAAAATAGTTTAAGAATGAAAATATTTAAAAATTCTTTAAAAAACTGTAAGTATCAGGGTGCCTGGGTGGCTCAGTTGGTTAAGCATCAGACTCTTGATTTTGGCTCAGGTTGTGATCTCAGGGTCCTGGGATCGAGCCCCGCATCTAGCTCAACACTCAGTAGGGGAGTCTGAGATTCTTTCTGTCTCCCTCTGCCAACTCATACTTTCTCTCTCTATAATAATGTTTAAAAAATGTATGTATTGACTGCTAAAAATAAAAGAACCTAAGAGACAGACTTGTTTTTTAGCTTAAATAAAACCACTAAAATGTCATGATCTCTGATATCTTTATTCCCAAAGTCTGTGACAAGAATATTGGTGATGTTGAGGTGGATTAACCTGCTGAAGCGGAACTGGCTCAGCTGGTGATTAAGCCCAGCAGAGCGAGAAGGGGACTGGCAGGCCACCAGTCTGTGCTGCTGCGGAAATGTGAGAACCCTCTCTGCTGCTTTCCCTGCAAAAATTTTTAATCCAAAATTCATCTGGAAAAAATTTCCAAAATACAATACTCCTTAAAAATATAGAATAGAAATTATAAGTGAAAATTACAACTATCTCTGAGCTGAAATATTTCAAAGCTACCCTGGACATCCTCATACAAAACATAAATTTTAATCCATACTTTACATCATATATAAAAATTCAAAATGGATCATTAGATCTAATATAAAAGCTACAAAGATAAAACTTCCAGAAGACAATACAGGGAAAACTCTGTGATCTTGTGTTGGGCAAAGATTTCTCAGATATGACACCAAAAGTGTGATTCCCTAAAAGCAAAACATGGATTCACAGGAGTTAAAATGAAAAACTTCTGCTTTTCACAAAATACAGGCTAATGGATGTGAAGATAAAACACAGACTGGAAGAAAATATTCGCAAAACACTTACCTAATAAAGGACTTGCTCCAAACTACATATGTAACACTCTCAAAACTCAGTAAGAACAATAAGAAGTAACCTACCCACTAAAAAGATGGGTGAAATTTGAACTGACTGCAATTAAAAAAGATAGAGGGCAAATAAGCTCGTGAAATGATGTCAAAATCATCAGCCAATAGGACATGAAAATTAAGGCAATGAGATTCCAAGAGACACCGGTTAGAACGGCTAAAATTAAAAAGACCACAGCCCAAGTGTTAGGGAGGGAACGGAAGAAGTGGAATTCTCATACACGAGTCGCGGGCTATCATATGATACAACCCCTCTGGCAAAATCTGGCCGTTTCTCACAAAGTTTAACATATACCTACACGATCTAGCCATTCTACCCTAGGTATTTATTCAAGAAAAGTGAAAGGCGATGTCCACATAAAGACCTGAGAGTGAATGTTCACACTTGCTTTATTCGGAAGAGTCAAACGCTGAACACAGTTCCACCAACAGGTACATGGACACACAGTGGTGTGCCTACACGACAGACTGCCTCCCTCAGCAACGAGAAGGAATAACTACTGATACGTGCTATAACGTGGATAAATCTCAAAATTATGCTGCGAGAAAGAAGCCAGACCAAAATCAAACCCAAACCTTGTGTATATAATGTGTGATTTCGTTTACATAAAAGCCTAAGAAATACAAACTCCTCTGTTATGATAGAAAGCAGATTGGTAGCTGCTCAGCTTGGGGGAGGTGAGGGAGGGGTCACAGGTTCTGGGACAAAAATATGTTTATTTTATTGACTGTGACAGAATCACAGGTGTGTGTGTCAAATTGTACCCTTTGAGAATGTTCAGTGTACAGTATGTCAGTTATACCTTAACATAGCCGTTTAAAAAACTGATGTGTTAAGCTTATGCTAAACTTTTCAGGTAAAGAAAGTTAAGGACACCAAATGTCCCTGTTGTGTGATTAAAATTCTACCTCCTCCTACTGCTCTCATTTAGCCTGATGAGCCCTGGTGGAGTAGGGGTGAGGTCACTAAGTTGAGAGCATCAAGGGGCCAACCTCAGAGGACGAGCAGCTGGGTGTGCAGGACTCTGGGCCACAGGCACCACCGTCTCAGTTCCTCAGGGTGGGCAGGCAGATTCTCCCACTTCCTGCTAGTTCTGTGCTCTTCCCTCCCTACCCTGCACTCACCTCTTCGTCCTCATTCTCCAACTGCCCAAACTTCAGCCGCAGACTCGCCTCAAACTCCTCATCTGTCCAATAGAAGAGGACCTCTGCACCTTCTGTGGCCACCAAGACGCACTTCATCTGGCAGGAAGAAGCAAGGCTAAGGTCACCTCCCAGTCCCTTCATCCATAAGCTCAGCCTGCCCTGCAATCACCTACTGAGCCCTCACTGGGCACCAGGCACCACGACAGGGGCCTTCCTGCTGTTATTCTGTCATACCCTCCCAGGCCCCTGAGGAGGCAGGAATCTTGATCTTGAGTTACTCCCACTTCCTGGTGCAAGACTTAGCACAGCTTGGAGTAGCAGAGCCACTGGGATCTAAACCCGGGTCTAAGGCTGGGGCTCTTGCTTCCGCGTCTTCCAGCACTTCTCACCAGAGTGTCAGGCTCTTCATGGGCCTACCTGCACCAAATAGACAGAAGGACCCCGCTCCTGATCTGGACATGGAATCAACTGCACAGGAGAGGCAGCGAGTATCGTGCATGGCTCAGGGCGGTCAGCACCTGGTCTAGAATGGAGGGAGGCCAAGGCACCTCCCTCTGGGCACTTCAGAAATGTGTTCCTCCTTGAGGAAAAGACAGCTCCAGGAGACAAGTTCCAACACCCCCCCCCCCCCCCAGTGGTGGGTTCAGTGTGACGGAACTTCATTCCCAAGCTCCTTCTGCTCTGGGTGGAAACAGAGGCTGCCAGGATCGTGGCCCTCCCAAACCACTTTCCCCACCACCCACACCTTCTGTGCTACATGTTTTAATGCCTGATTATACAAAGTGTGTTTCATTATTCATCAATGGGGAGACTCTTAATCCAGAGCTTCCCACACTGTGCCTTTCACTCCTGGTGTGCAGCAAGACATTGATCCTCTCAACTCCTGGGGCAGCCCGCCCAAGCCAGGGGAGGCCAGGGTTCTCAGGCCAGCTACTTGCAGCTGAGAAAAACCCAGGCAGGGGCTTCACATCTTCTGTCCCTCAGTGTGCCACACAGATGAGATCACGTTGTACGTGTGCTGAGACATGACGATGACCAGAAAACTCTGCTCTGCCCCGAGTGGATGTCCAGTTTCAACAGGATCATTGTATCTTGAGGTCTCAGTCTCAGTTATCCTCTTCAGGATCCCTGATAGGTCCAGCCAGCTTAGTGGCACTTAGTGAATTCCTCCCAAATCTCCAGTGGGTTTATCAAGTCTAATTAGTTCAGAGCACCTGGTCTCAGGGTGGTTCCTTCACCATGGAAAAGAATGCAGCCTATTCCCATGGAATTGCTAAACACAAGGCAGAGACTGGGAGAACAACGGAGTGTGAAGTCAAGGTTGCTGGCTGAGGGCAGGTGGACCAGGAAGAGGTGGCTCTGGGACACCCAGGTGAGTGTGACAAAGCGGGGGAGGAAAAAAGGGGGCCTACAGGGGCCAGCCTGATGGGGAAGGAGTGTGTGTGCTGGGCAATGGAGGGCTACAGAATGGAGGCTGTGGTCAGCAGCAGCACCCCCTGGAGGCTGGGAAGGGTGTGAGGAGTGAGACGCTGGGCACAGGTGGGTGAGGTTAAGGATCCTGGTGGGAGGTAATTAGGGCCCACTTCTTGGCGGAGGCCAGGAGAGGAAGGGGCCGATTTAAGAGATGTAGCTTAGAGTCCTAGGTCTTGGTGAGGGCCTGGATGCAGGGAAGGAGAAAATAGGCAAGGTGACATCAGGAGGCAGAGCTGCGGCAGGGGTTGGGGAGGACAGGGCTCTGCAGAGCCAGGGAAGGCTCAGTCCACTGCCTGCCTCTTGCCCTGCCCGTGTACCACTCATTCCCCCAGACCAGCCCCGGAGTGGGTGGCGCATGCCTGGGTTCTGCCCCCAGGCCAGGCAGGATCATCTACCTTGAGATGAACAGCAGAGCCTCCAGACAGCCAGTTTCAGAAAGGGCTGCAGTAGACAGATTCGATGACCAGCTCATGGAGAGCGGCACAGCATCCAGGGTCCTGCAAATGCCTAAAACAGAGAGGTCATGAGGGCAAGCTGAGCCTCTCATCTGACTGCTGATCATCTCTGGGAGGACAAGCTGGTGAAGGACTCAGTGCTCAAAACGTGTCTCTGGAACACACACCCCACAGCCAGGAGGCGCCTGCCTGGTGCCCTGTATCCCACCACCCTGCCTTCCCACAACACGCAACACACACCAGGCCAGCACAGTCCTTTGGACACAGCAGGGGCCCACAAACATTAATTTCCACCTCCTGTTTCCTTCCGGGCACTCATTTTACCGTGGGTCACTGAGAACCATGATGTGGTCAGCAACCTTGCCCTAAGCAGCCCTAAGGATCTTGCTAGGAGAGACTGGAAACGGCGCAGCACATCCCAGCCCCATAGGGAAGCCCTCCTGGGAGGAGGAGGTGAAATCCTGGGACCATGAAATACCCCAAACAGAAGGCGCGGGAGACCCGGATCTAGCTTGGCCTCTAGCTTGGCCTCGGCACTTAGACCTCTGAGTCTCCAACCTCTGCCCTACCTCCCAGGGCTACGGTGGAACAATAGCCAGGCGGGGAGCAAACTCTGCTTTCTTACGTAGAAGTGGGCTTATTTTCCGTCCTTACTTCCCAGCTGCCCTTTGTCAAATAACAGGGTGAACCACGCCGGCTGCAGAATCATTTACATTTTGAGGATCAAAGGCCGGAACAACATGAAGCTGTAACCTCATTAGGAAACCAAACGTAGTAAGCAAGTAAGAGGCAAGAAAGGGTAGTTGGGGGCTCTGCATCTTTTGCAGCATGAGACCTGTGGCATCGCCCGCGTGACCAGCCCTGATGACACATTCCCAGAAGAAGGGAAATGCTTTTCCGCGGACACTAGGCTCCACTGTTTGATTCCCAAAGGCCGCTGCCAAGCGCACCTCGCCCGCGTCACCTCGCGCCTTCCCCGCTCTCCTCTCCGTCCCGCTCTAAGCAGGCGGCGCCGGGCCCGCAGGGAGGGCCCAGCCCCACGTCAGCGCCTCCGCAGCGCGCCCGCCCGCAGCCGCCGAGTCAGGCCGCTCCGCCCGGCCAGGCCCCCGCCCCGCCCCGCCCCGCCTCGCCCCGGCCCCGCCCGCGGGGCGCCCCGCACCCCACGAAGCTCACGGCGACCGGGCGGAGGGCCCGGCGGGGGGCGCCCGCCACACTCCGCGGCCGAGGAGACTCAGGGTCCAGAGGAGAAGCGGCGGGCCCCCGGCCCGGCGGGCGGGCGGACGTGCAGCCCCGGCGGGGCCGGCGCCCGCTTCCGGGAGGCCGCGGGGTTCCAGGGGGCGCCCAGGAGCCCGCCGCCCACGGAGGGGCCGCGGGGGGCGGCGCGCGGACGGAGGGCGGGGACCGCGTACGGCTCACGCCAGGCCGAGCGGGCCCGCGGGCGCGCTTCCGGGTGTGGTCACGTGACCGCCCGCGGCCCCGCCCCGCCGGGGGAGGGGCTGGGAGCGGGGGGCGGTTCCGCGGGTTCGAGCCCGGCCCGCGCCGCCACCCCCTTGAACCCCGGCGGCCGCGCGATTCGGGGTTCCTCCGCTTCCGGGCCCGCAGTCCCCCTGCCGTCCAGCAGCGCGCGGAGGCCCGCGGCGTCGGGGGCCGCTGCCCGCCCCGGTCAGGGCACCTGCCGCGCGCGCCCGCGGTTCCCCGCCTAGGCCCCGGGGACCTGTCCGCCTTAACCCCGCTTGCACAGCGCGGGGAGCAAGGCCCAGAAAGAAGAAATCATTCGCAGAGGGCCCGAGTTGGGATCAGAGCCCAGGCCTCCGGGCTCCCGCCCGCCCCTTCGCACCCTCCGGCTTTCCGGGCGAGGGCTGCCCTCCGCCGCGGTTCCCCGCGCCCCGGGGAGAAGACCGCCCGCGCGACGCTGGAGCTTCCTGATGAAAGCTCCCCAAGCCTCTGGGAGGCCAGGGGCACCCTAGGGGCTTGGCTTAGAACCCGTGTTTTCGATATAAATTGTGTACACGGAGCGGCTGAAGTGAGGGTTGCTGATGAAGACCCCTGGAAGGGAGCAAATCCCCTCCCGACCCCCCCCCCCGGACCTCGGGGCTCCCTGGGGGCGCTGGGCGCAGCCCGGCGGGGGAGGAGTCGTGGGCCGCGGCCAGGCCCAGCAGTGCCCGCCCCGAAAGGCCGCGGCCAGGAGCTAGTGCCTGCACTGCGGGCAGACCCAGCGGGCTCCGCCGCGCCCCGCCGCTGCTCCCGGCTCCTCGCGCGCCTTAGCGCCCCCACCGTGCAGCCCCCCATCCGTGGCTCGCACCCGCTGCAGGCGAGTCTCTTGGGATCCGGTGGCGGTGCGCTCTTCACCCCGTTTCCGCTCCCCTTGTTTCTCTCCTCTCTAAGACTCTTCATAAGCGCGGATTTCAGGGCTTGAATTAATTCCGTCAAGTGGATATGCTGCCATTCTTCCCTGCCACTGCTAGAAGTTTCCATTTCTCACCAGCAATGTGGGAGGGTCCCAATTCTCCACATCTGTGCCAACACTTGTTATTGTCTGTTTTTATTTAGCCATCCTGGTGGGTGTAAAGTGGTATCTCCTGATTTTGATTTGCATTTTCCTAATGACTAACGGTGTTCAGCATCTTTCATGTGCTTTTTGGCCATTTGTGAATCTTCTTTCAAGAAATGTACGTTCAATTCCTTTGCCCATTTAAAAATTACTTGTCTTTTTATTATCAAATTGTAGGAGTTCTTTATATATCCTGGATACAAGTCCCCTAGTAGATCTATGATTTACAGTTTTCCCCCCTTTATGTGGTTTGGTTTTTTGCTTTCTAAATGGTATCATTTGTGGCACAAAAGTTTTCAATTTTGATTTAATCCACTATACCCATTTGTAATTCTATCCAAGCTTTTGTGTCAACATAAGTTTCTATTTTACTTGGGTAAATACTTAGGAGTAGGATGGTGGGGCTGTATAATAAGTAACTGTATGGTACAGGCTGTAGAGTAAAGTGAATGCACCATTTTACACCCACCCTGGCAGCTCTGAAAGAGTTTGCTGCTCTGTAGCCTCCTTAGCATTTGACATTGTCCTTCTGTAATTTTAGCCATTCTAGTAGGTATGTTGTAGTATCCCACTGGGGTCTGAATTTCCATTTTCCTAATGACTAATGACGTTGAACTTCTTTTCATGTGTTTATATGCCATGTGTTAAATGTTCAAATCATTTGCCCATTTTAAAATTAGAATTTTTTCTTATAACTTATATGATTCCTTTATATATTTAGAATGAATTATTTACCAGATATGCTTGCTTGCTTGCTTGCTTTCCTTCTTTTGCCTGCCTGTGGCTTTGTCTTTTCATTTTCTTTTACAGTGACTTTTGAGGAACAGAAATTTTTGTGCTTTTTGAGCCACTGCCTAAAACATCTTTGCTTAAACCAGGGTCACAAAGATTTCCTCCTGTTTTCTTCCAGAAGTTTCATAGTTTGTTTTGCACTTAAGTCTATGATCCATTTCAAGTTGATTTTTTGTAGAAAGCATGAGAGAAATATTCAGGTTCATTTTTCTGCATATAGATACCCAATTTTTCTAACGCCATTTGTTGAAAAAAATATCCTTTCTTCATTGAATTACATTGACACATTTGTCTCAAATAAGTTGAATATAAATATGTGGCTCTATTTCTGGATTCTCTATGCTGTTCAATAAATTTAGAAGGATTCAGATCACACTAAGGATTTTATTGATTTTTTTCAAACAGCTTTTGGTTTCAACAATTTTCATTGGTTTTTCTGTTTATTTCATCAATTTTTGCACTATTTACTATTTACTTTCCTCTGTTTACTTTGGATTTAATTTGTTCATTTTTTTTATTATTATTTTTTAGTTTCTTAGGATAGAAACTGACCCATTTTATTTGAGACCTTTCGTCTTTTTTTCCAACAAGGGAGTTTGCTCCTATAAATTTTCCCCGAGGTACTGTTTTATCAGCACCTACAGCTTTTGATATGTCGTATTTTCATTTTCAATGAGTTCAAAATGCTTTCTAATTTTTCCTTTGATTATTTTTGGCTCGTGGATTATTTAGAAGTGTGGTATTAATTTCCAACTATTTGAATAGTTATTTCCAACTATTTTCCAGGTGTCTTTCTGTAATTGTTTTCTATTTCAATTCCATTTGGCCAGAGAATATGCTTTGTGAGACTTGAGTCCTCTTAAGTGTATTGATGGCTTAGGATATGGTAAATCTTGGTAAATGTTTCAGGTGTACTTGAGAATAATATATATCATTCTTTTGTTGGGTTGAGTGATCTACAAATGTCAATTAGGCCAAGCTGGTTGATACTGACACTTAAGTCTTCTCTCTCCTTAATGATTTTCTGTGTACCTTTTCTATCAAATATTGAGATAGTGATATTGAATTCTCTAACTACAATTGTGGATTTGTCTATTTCTCTTCATGATTCTGTCAGGTTTTGCTTCATATATTTTGAAGCTCTGTTATTTGATACATTAACAGTATGATTATTATGTTCTCTTAATGAATGAGCCCCCATACCATTATAAAATTACCTTTTCATCCTTAACACTATTCATTGCACTAAATCTACTTTGAGAATAGTGTCACCACGACAGCTTTATTTTGATTAGTTAATATGGCATATGGAAGCGTTCAAGACATGTAACCCCAAAATATGCTACTTTGGCGTGTTGATTATTGTGAGCTAAAGGCATTCGAAACATAGCAGGTGCAAGAAGGGCACACTGACTTCCCTTTTCTTTCAGTAAGCAGGAGATGAAACTTCTATGGGAAAGATGCCCTCCTCTTTCCGGGAGGAAAGGAAATTTCTTTGCACCAGAGAAGGGCAATCTAGGCAGAGAGAAATCTGTACAAATAGACTAGGTTAAAATAACTCTTATCTTTCTGTAGTCTCTTCATATACTCTAGTTACTTTTCCACAATTGCCACTCTTTCTTCAGTCTAGTATCTACTTAGGCCTTGCTAGTTCTTCGGATCTTCGTTCTTGTGGGGCTCCCACACAGGTGTTAAAAATTACTAAATAAAATCTCTGTGCTTCTCTCCTGGGACTCTGTTTTGTGTCAGCCTCAGCCAGAAACCCTGAGAGGGTAGAGGAGACATTTTACCTCCCCTGCATATGTAATCTTCCATCCTTTACTCTTAACCTACTTGTGTCTTCATATGTAAAACACAGTTTTTTTTGTAGGCACATTATACTCGGGTCTGATTTTTTTCCAGATTGACCATCTCTGCCAGACAGATTTGTCAGATTGTGTGTAAAGAACAACTCACATTAATGGGATTAGTACTGTGGTTTAAAGCCTATCAGTCATTATCTTGCTATTTGTTTTGCATTTGTCCCACCTTTTGTTTCTTTTTTCCTCTTTTTATGCCTTTAAAAACATTTATTGAGTCCTTCTAGGATTCCATTTTACCTCTGTATTGGCTTCAGGACCAGGATGGGGGTGGGGAGAATGAGATACTCTGAAGATTTTAAAGGGATGTCAAAAAATTTGGTAATCAATATAATACTATTCTAATTAATGTTTTCAAAAGTCAAAACTAATGCAAAAAATCCATGATGAACAAAATATCAAAATTTTGAATATAAATATGATCAGTATTTCTGATTTACCTATTTGCCTCAGGCTTTAGTATAGCTTGGCATTAACATTTTTACTAAAACAAACAAACAAAAAAAACATTTTTACTGACTGTGGGTCAGTTTTTGCTTCATATATGTGCACACACATAGATATGTATATATATATGATTTTTTTTAATTTTTAAAAAATTATTTATTCATTTATTCATGAGAGACACAGAGAGAGGCAGAAACATAGGCAGAGGGAGAAGCAGGCTCCACACAAGGAGCCCGATGCGGGACTATCCTGGGACTCCAGGTCACACCCTGAACCAAAGGCAGATGCTCAACCCCTGAGCCACCCAGGTATCCCTGTATATATGAGTTAATTTCATTTTAAAATTTATGCATCAAATTTCATTTAGATGAAATTTGTTAATTGTCTGAATTTTCTATCCTTTCTGAGTTTGTCTGCCTTTTCTCTCATTTTTTGAAAATGTGTTTAG